AGTGGGCGGGGTACACCCTGAACTGGTTGCCAGCAAGTCGCAGGGCACACATAGACGAACAACCATTTGCGCTCACAATCACACCTAGGGGCAATTCAGACTGTTCAATTATCATGTTTTTGGAATGTGGGAGGAAACCGGAGCACCCGTGGAAAACCCACACAGGTGCGCGGAGAACATAAAAACTTCACTCAGGAGCCGGATTCAAACCTGCAACTCTGCACTGTGAGGCGGACATGCTAACCAGTCGCCCGCCGTGCCGCCGATCGTACAAATATAGCTTATATGCTGTGAGATTCATCTAAAGCTTTGGGGACTGGATACTTGAAGCACGTAGAGAGGAGGTTGAGAGATAATATCATCCGATACTTTCTCTAATTGCCATGCATGTAAAATTTAATTGAAGACTTTTACAGTTGAGCGTTTCTGAGTCAACAGTTGCGTTGACCATGTGTGAGTGTGTGCCTGGGTGTGTGTTTGGTGAGAGCTGGAGGATGTGTCTGTATTAGTTTGATGCAATTCCAACACATCCAAAAACCTAATCCCTTTCGGGTTTTCAAGATCACTAAAGGATTTTCTACATCAGAAATCAAAGAAAACTACTGAGTTATAACCCTAAGAGCTGGAGACAGGGAGTTTGAGGAAATGTCTAGTTATTTTTTTTAAAGCATTAGACCATTCAAAGTTTCAAAACAAATTGGCTATTTTTTTACCTTTAATTGGCACTCATGCTTTGAATGATTCCCTAATTATGTGCAAATAAATCAAACTGGAAATTTCATCCATAAATATATCGCTAAATATTCCAGGCATATTTAAACGTGATATCACATATTATTTTGGAGGCATGCAGCTTACTTGAAATGCTTTGTAACTTTGTGCATCAAAACATAGCAAATGAATCTGAATTTACAGGCTGAGACTGTCCATATTCCTAAAAGAGCCAACTCCATATAGACACCAAACAATACTTGCAACTTCACAACTTACCCTCTCAGGTGATTCCTCCAAGATTACAGCTCCATTTATTGGTACAACCAAATCTGTGGGTGAGCTTCTTTCAGGCATTCAGGCATTTAACAGTGAGAGTCGAAGGAGAAAAAGAAGGTGCAATGTGGACCTGCAAGAAGAAGAGCAACGAAATCAAATGGAGCTGCCCATACTGAAAGAAAATCCTTAATAATCCATCTGTGATCCAAGAGGCGCGATCAGATGGGGTGCATACAAATTGCAAACCTACCTCTGCAGCAACCTCGGTCCACTTTTTCCTCAGGGTCCTAAGGCTGCACAATTGCAGAGCAGCTTGCACATTCTGTTGCACGATAGAAACATGATAGATTCTGTTTGCGGGTTTAACAATTTTGAATAGAATCTAATTAACAAAAAAAAAAAAAATCATCATAAATAAACCAGCTAGCATTTCTCACATCCTTATTTTCTCATTTTTGTTTAATCACAGGCTTATCAATTACTATGGAGCATATTGGTATTTATCCTCGGATAAAGATCTTGTATGTTTTTTTTTCTGGTTTCCTGCAGCCACTGTTTTAATATGGAAAGCCACCACTGCACAGACTGCAGAAATGTATCCTCCTGCGTCCTGCAGCAAAACAAGCTTGCCTCTGTCTCTTTCACCAAATGAAACTGAATTCATTTCTTTCTTACTGGTTTATAACCATTTGCCCAAAAAAAAAAAAAAAACACATACACACACTGAGGTCACGCTATAGACAGACAATAGATAAAAAGCCAGCGCTTATATTGATTTCCTGAGCTACAGACATGTTGGTTTGACCACAAATTATAAGAATCGTATTTCTCCAAGTTTGCTTTTGCTATCTCAATGATAAAGTGAGCTTTCTACCTTGTTGATTGTGCATGCTCCCCCTCCCCATTGTATTAAATTGATTGAATCACTTGATAATTGATTTGGGTATTTTCTTATCTTCTTGATTTTATTGAGGAAAACGTGGCCACAAAAAAAATGATAAATGCATCCTCTGCTGGGTAATGATGTGTGCAACAAAAGAGAAGAATTGATCTGAAAATGCAGTTCGATCTAACCTTACACACACACACACACACACACACACACACACACACACACACACACACACACACACGCAAACACATGTGATGGGCTGAAATAAGGAGAGTGCTGTCTGACCTCCCTGTAAAGATGATTTAAGTCAACCTTTTTTTATTTAATAGAAGGTTGAGAACCATTCAAGCATTTAAGAGGCAAATAGATTCCCATACAACAAGAAAATAATAGTATTTAACACGCGCCCACTCAGATGCTCATTTTTATTATATTATTCTTCAGTTTCACATGCAAAGTGGTGACGATGTTTCAAGATAGGACTGATAGATAAAAAGGGGAAATGTAACAGTAAAGTAGGAGTATGAACAGATCTCTCCTTAAATTCCTTCATCTCACTCAGCAGTACAGTTTTGAATTAACCTGAAGTCAATAGCATGGCTATCAATCATTCTTGCTGGAGTGGGCTTGAGAGTGTGCTATTGGACAGATAATCATCTCCTGAGGAAACAGGCTTTTCTTCTTGCTTGCTTGACTCTGAACAGCATGAGCATTGCAGTTTCATCACAGGACAGTAAAAAAAAAAACAAGCACGATCTTCCCATAGGCTGGCTGTTACTATACAAATATGCCTTATCCAGATCATTGCATTTGCAGGGCATTAAATTGATCGTAACCAGATTGCCGTGGTTCTCATGTGAGCAGGCTGCGTCAGTTCATGCAACAAGGCTTTAATTAGGCAGACATTACCTTTTACATTTTACAACTGACTGGAAAATAAATGAAGGAGTTCCCATCCAAAGACTCAGGTTGGTGGAAGGAGGCCCCTATGCAAGGCATCTTAATGACTGTCATTTTGCATTCCAAATGAATGACACCATTCGTGGTTGGGACGTGCCTCCAACTTGGAGCATGAATGTTGTAGATGAGTTGTACACACCAAGTTAAGGTTGCTGGTTTGTTTGTGTGTCTTCATCCACATCTGCCCTGCTGCCCCAAGATTTCTCTAACCCCCTCCACCTGAGGCGAAATGTCATCTAATACAACAACAGCAGTCCAGTTGCGATCGATTCAACGTCCTGAGAATATTACACAAGTACAATTTACCTTGTTCGCTATGATGATGAATCCTAAACCGGGGTACAAGTTGATCCAAGACACGAGATCATCAGCGATGCTCAAGCAATTATCCTATTTCATTTAATTTGTCAAAAAATTTATATGAAGTAACTACAAATATGTATTTGTTCATCTCTCTATGCCAGCGATGTATAGTGAGAGGCAGAACTATTATCTTTGTTTTCCATAAGATGGCAGAAGGTACATCAAACCTGTGCATCCATCTGTTGCCATTCATACAAGAGCAGAAGTCACGACTTATGCAAGTATATCGGCTTTATGTTCTATTAAACAGGCCCAGATTCTCTCACCCTACTATTTATTGCCAAACGTAGAGAATGCCGTACGTGTTATTAGAACGTACACAGTAACACTGTGTACTTCACAGTGTCTGTTTAATCTACATTTCTTGTGTTTTACATCTTCAGGGTTTCTTTGTCTGTTTATTTGATTGATTAGCAGTTTGAGGAGCCTGTCACTTGGACAAATAGCCAAAACCGGGAAACAAATTTAATTTGTTTGTTTGTCTGCAGTACACCTGGTTCCTTACCAATTAATTATTTCTAGTTGCCTTCATGAAGGCGGCTGGAAGTTTTTCGCCATGCGGATGCGTGATCCTCCTCTCATAGTTTAGCTTTGATTTGCTTCCAGATTTATATGGTAATATTCAAATCCCTATTTCCACTTCCACTGCATTGGTTGTGTTGACTGACACTTCTGCATCTACACAAGAAGCCAAACAAAGCTATTTTTATGGATGGGCCATTATACAAGAGCTTCATGGGGAATCTGTAAGAATGCAATTCAGGTGTCATTGCCTCTTTGTAATGCGTCTCGTCTTCAGGAATTCATTCTCTCTGCTGCCTCACTTGAAAATGGCATTCTGACACCATTTACATGGAAATCACTTTGCCTCTTCATCTGTAATAGCGGCCTATGTGCAGACAGGACCTCAGAGGCCCGGACTATTAATGAGGGTAGAAAGAACCAAAGAGAGCGATGGAGTTTTCAAGGCAAAAGTCAAGATCAGGCTTTCGGTACTTCGAGGATGAAGAAAGGATTAAAATATTATGTTTATTAAGCATGTACTCCTCTCCCTTTGCTTACTTTCACTTGGTTTTCTTTCTTAAACACACTTGTATGAGCCCTAGAATGACATACTGTATATGAACATGGAATAAAATAATAAGAATAAATGTGTTTTGCAGAATATACTGTACTGGATATTTTATTGATGAATACGCACGTACATGTTATCTTTTGTTCGATGAACATGACTGTTTGAAGTGTCTTTATATTTGGTGCAAAAAAAAAAATCATTTATTTGTCTGGATTAATACTGCCTCCACATGGCACAACTGCAGCATTACTTTGTAAAAGACTGTACCAGATTTAAGTAATGCGTCGCACTATACCTAAGCATTAATTCAGGTTTAATCAACATCATGTGTATGTCGGGTATTAATATATTCATTTCTCAATTTTCTTTTGTTGTACTAAGCGTAAATTTGTGTTTCTTTATTGTAGACATGCATGATAACTCTATATCTGTGGCAAACACTTCGACTACTTTTGGTAAAAAAAAAAAGTATTTAAGTAAATACTTTTTTTTATGTACTTTGTGTTCCTTTTTCCGGTACAGATACGGCGCATGTGGAGTATTTTTATTTTTTTTGGCTGCGGGCGTTGCATGAATAGATTACAAGTGTGTTGCTAGCAGTCTTTTTTTTTTTTGAATTATTCGCAACCCTGGTGAAAATATAGTTCAGATAATTGATGAATGGATGATGGAAAATTAAATTTACAGGGCAGATAACGCAAGTCATGCAATTTACTTGTGGGACGGCGTCGTGACATCATGACGCACAGCGTGACGCGGACGTGAGAAAGAGGATAAACAAAAAAGGAAGGAAGCCTTCGGCAGTACAATCGCGGCAAAATCGGTTCAAAAATTTAGCTCGTGAGCTACAGTTAGGCACTCCGTGCGGCCTTTTGTTGTCTCGTTAGGCAGCATTTGGTGTTTGCAATCATGGACGATGCAATAATATTTCGTATGAGTGCGTTTTCCGAGCAAGGAGGGAGGAAATACATGGAGGATGTTGTCGAGATAAGAATCGAGTATGAGCCGACGTCGGCGGCTAGCGAAGACTACACAAAGTCACACAGACACGGGGGACAGGACAACGCGGATAGCGACTCGCCGAAACGCGCTGAAAGCGAGCTGCAAGCACAAAATGTGCCGACCGAGCCTGGCCCGGTTTCTGCTATGTGGGTTGAGAGCCTGGCCAGCGAGGAGACCGGCGACCGCGGCGCGCCGCTATCCGACGAAAAAGTCGAGGAGCGCCTTGTGGACACTCGGAGGTCCGTGGCGTTTTTCGCCGTGTTTGACGGTCACGGGGGCCGGGAAGCAGCCCATTTTGCCAGAGAACATTTGTGGGATTTATTAAAGAGACAGAGGGGCTTTTGGTCCAAGGATCACTCGGAAGTATGTGCTGCTCTCCGGAAAGGATTCATCGCCTGCCACCATGCAATGTGGAAACAACTACGTAAGGCGTTCCTTATATTTTGGATATGCGGTCACGCTTTAAACAACACCGTGTGTCCTACCCAGCTGAGAAAACACTGACGCGCCACCGAGCCTATACTATACCGTAGATGTGTTTTAATTGCTAGGCAAAGTCCACACACCGATCAAGAGAGAGAGACTTGCTCTTGAAACCCAATGTCAAAAGCTGTTCTGTGGCAGAATTATTCACTTTATATATTTAATAGAATAGGTGTGTCCAAGTCCGGTTCTCGAAAGCCCTTGTCCTGCCTGTTTTTTATATGTCCCCCTCCTCTAACACATCAGCCGATTCACCATCGTTGTCTGGCTTCTGCAAAGCTTACCGTTGAGCTGATCATATGTAGTGGGTGTGTTGGAGGAGGGAAACGGATTTATCTGACTTGTGATTTATCACTGTCAAAACAAATGTAGTTGTTGAACTCCAGAAGGTACAAAATACAAAACACCGTGCCCATTCTAAAAGTTAAGGACAGACAATCGATGACAAATGGATGTTTCTTGGTTAAACGTGCAGAAGTCAATAAATACTAAAAAGCAAGAAAGATAAGCAAGACAGCTGGCCTTGTTTTACAACCATGGCTTGCAGTAAATGGAGTGCTTGGGGGGTTTAGTTACTGCAAAAGGAGATGAAACAACATTAGTATTAGTGGTGACCCCTTTCAAGTACTGTAAGCTTGAAATACCATCTGGAAGAAACCAAATGGGCAGTAACCACACTCAGATTAGTGTTGAGCATGAAAATAGCATGTAGTCTTCCTAGTGGGAGTGTGTTAAAATCTTTTATACCAGTGGGCCTCAATGGATGGAAGTAATGTATTTTTATTTTTATTTTTTACAGACATGTATTTCATCAAACACTGACAAATGAGGATTGATTATGATCAGATTTGTCTGTATTTTCATTGGAAGATAGGTGCAAAATGGATTTCTGTGCTTCATATAATCCAAACAAAATATTAATCAGAATGCCGTGTTTAGGTTAGCGGGGGACACATAAAACATATTGGAAAGAAAATTTCTGACTGTCAGAATAAATAATTTCTCAAATCCATATTCATCATCACTTATGTCCATAATGTATAACACATTTTTTTTTTGCAGCGGAGTGGCCCAAAACAATTACAGGGCTCCCCAGTACATCAGGAACTACAGCAAGTGTGATTGTGATCCGTGGAGTTCACATGTATGTAGCTCACGTGGGAGATTCAGCAGTAGTGGTTGGAGTGAAAGAAAACGAATCGGATATCACACTTCAAGCGCTTGAAGTCACGCAAGATCATAAACCTGAACTTCCGAAAGAGAAGGAAAGGATCGAGCGACTGGGTGGGAGGTGAGTAAGGAGGGGGCAAAAAAAAAAAAAAAAACGCAAAATCCGATTCTTTCTGGAATCTCACAAATCCAGTTTGCTGTTGCCCTAGTTTAATCCAGAAGAAGAATTCTGGTTTAGCGAGAGACAATGGTTATTTTTTGTGCTAGGTTTTCTGTTTTGCACTGGTCACCAGTCAATGACACGGCATGCTGTATATAGAAAAGCAACCAATGATTCTTCCGAGCTTTGTACAAGTTAATTTTCACTTAATCTGCCATGCATGTATTTAGAATTTGGGAAACCATGGTACTCGGTGACAGGGGCACCACCAAACGTGTGTGTGTGTGTGGGGGGGGGGGGGAGTCCCTGCCAAACTCACCCCCCTCACTCCCGCTTGAAACAATCATTGACAATAGTTAACGATCAGGAAAATGGTTTAGTTTAAAATCCTGCTTGACTTTCCATGTCACCATTTCTAATAAAGTAAAGGTTTCTTACGTCAGATGATTAAAACTGTAAATCGATTCCTATTGTAATAATCACGAAAAGTTGTTGAAACATTCAAGAACTAGTATTGTTGGCTTAGTAAGTTTGTTGAGTGTAATTATATGGGATGAACATGAACATGAACTTGTGTCAGTCATTGTGTCATACTTTACTGCAGTGTAATGAAGAAATCTGGGGTTAACCGCGTAGTGTGGAAAAGACCCCGACTTACGCACAACGGTCCAGTGAGGAGGAGCACAGTCATCGACCAGATCCCCTTCTTGGCAGTGGCGCGCTCGCTTGGTAAAGACACTCCGAAAATATACGGCATAAACACGACTGCAGTTTGGCAGCCCACGATGCTAATGACACATTTTATTCTCTATCGAAAGGTGATTTATGGAGCTATGATTTCTACAGTGGAGAGTTTGTAGTCTCGCCAGAGCCCGATACCACAGTGATGACCCTTGACCCCAAACGACATCGCTACGTGATCCTTGGCAGTGATGGTCTATGGAACATGATGCCTCCGAAGAATGCCGTCAATATGTGTTATAGCCATGACAAAATGGTGGTGCGTAACACACGAACAGATGCCCAAATGCACAGCATTACATTTGCCAGCTTCTCGATTTACCGTATTTTTCGGATTATACGTCGCTCCGGATTATAAATCGCACCATCCAAAAAATGCATAATTAAGAAGGAAAAAACATATAAGTCGCACTGGAGTATAAGTCGCATTTTGGGGGAAATTTATTTGATAAAATTCAACACCAAAAACATACATGTCATCTTGAAAGGCAATTTAAAATAAAAATAAAACTAGAGAACAGGCTGAATAAGTGTACGATATGCTAACGTTACATGACGCTTAAACAACGAACTGTGAATGTGCCTGGTATGTTCACGTAACGTATTAAGAGTTATTTAAACAACTATAGCACAAAGAACATGCTAACAAATTTACCAAACCATCAGCGTCACTCCAAATCACGAAATCCAATGAAATCTTCATGCTCGGTGTCACTTTTGAACAACTCCGGAGGTAGAAGATGCAGCGCTTCCTCTTCTCCGTCGTTTACGTCAGAGTCATCGTCAGTTGTTTTTCTCAGTTACCGCCAACGTGGAAAGTAGCAACATGGGCCGAGAGCACCCTCTTGCGGTTTAATGTGAAAAGAATACGACTTATTCCCTTAAAGTACGGTAGTTTTTTGTTTTTTTTTTTACTGTAATTACACGTCATATTGCACTTCCCCTTTTGCTCCTCAGGGGCCGAAAGGAATGTCTTGTGCCTGCCGGTTGGGATGCACCGCACTACTATTTTGGAAAGAGCGCATGCTTCGCGCTGACAACACAACAGTCATTGTGCTGGCACTGCAGGAGCGCAGCGGCCCCACTATCCCGATGCATCGAGATGAGATTATGGTCGACATGGCTCAGGGAATTGACCACATTCCCTTCCCGGGAACCCCTTACAACATATATGAGGTTCCGAAGGTCAGTTTCGCAACTTGAGTTCATCCTGCCTTGACCCTGCGTTTTGTGTTCAGGATGAACCACTGAGACCATGAAGTAGAATCACTTGATTTTCGAATGCAGAGAAGGTCACTGACCGGATCTGTCTCAAGAACATGAAGATCGTCTGCATATTTTCTTTACTCTCCACTATTCCCTGTGTAGTTTATTTCCAAAAAAGATCGAATGCTCAGCTGTTAAAATGTTTCAGTTGATAGAGACAAGTTCAAAGAACACTTGACAAGTGGACCAGTGGTTCATCATATCATTCTTTGTTTTCGGGGCCAACAGGCGGAGCGTGAGGATGGCATGTTTAATGAAGAAGATGAGATATATGGAGAAGAACATGAGGGATGGACATGCCTGGAGTGGTAGTCAGGTGACTGCTCATAAACTGTGTCAAATGATCAGCTAGAAAAGCCGGTAGCTAATTAGCTTTCTTTTTTTTTTTTTTTTTTTAAACTAAATACAAAAATTGTCCTTATAGCTGGTTTACATCTCAAATTAAAAACAAAAAAAAATGTCATTCAGTCATGTTACAGAGCAGGTTATCCTTTGTAAAACATAATCCCGAATTCCAAAATTCCCCCTTATTTGACCGAGACAATTTTCGAACACTTCAGTGCTTCGGACTTTGTGGTTCTGAGAAAGCTTCTTTCTGCTCCATCAAGACTGTGCCCCAAGTGCACAAAGCGTGGCTCATAAAGGTATGACTTTGGTAAGAGAGAACATAACCTAGTCTCAACACCAACAATTTGGGAATTAACTTCAACAGAGATTGCGAGCTTGGCTCTCTCTGCCCCACCGGAGACACAAGAAAGTCAGAAGAATGGAGGGTCTTCTAACTTCTAGCTTCGTATTTCTTCAACTTATATATTCATTCATTTATTTTGTATTTATTGATTAATATTAAAATCAATGTTGTTATTCAGTAGTTAGTAAGGGGACAATTTGAACGATTTAGTCACTTTTACTGTACTCAAAAGAACCGATGCAAAATCAAACATTGACTTCTTAGTGAGACTTCCAAGAACGTTTGTCGATGTGAAAGTGAGACTTGCACAATTCGCCAATACAACCAGTTGATCACATCCAAATCGTGGTTTGACGGGTTGTTGTTTGACTCTTATTTGCAGTATCTTTAATTATGTTCATTTAGTTACGGCTTCCGTCTGTCTCATTGTTGATTTTAAATTGCTGAATTATTCGTATGGTACAATTGAACTATTTGAAGTACCGGAAATGGAATTCTCAGGGTTTTTTTTTTTTCAATTGTCGTATTTTTGTTGTTCCTGCTTCTTTTCAGCGTCATGAAGCTGAGAATGCCTCGTCTCTACTTAAACAACGTACAAAGACATTGGAGCAGGCATTTGGCGTGTATGAAGCGGCTTTCTGTGCCACCGCCCACGACTTGCCTGACGTTGACTCCGCGGGAACCACGCCGTCCCCCTTGGACGGGCCGCTGAATGTGTTCCAAAAGCAAGACTCGGCGATCCACGTGGACCGGACTTCTGAGTCGGCTTCTCCGTTAAAAAGGTCTCACCGCACTCCACACATTGACCCTGAAGATGATCAGCGTGGTAAATCCCCAGACAAAAATTTGCCTCATAAGACGCCTCGCAGCAAAAGTGAACGATCGTGTGAAATTCACAAGCGAGACAACGACAACACAGCTGGACCGCAGCAGCACAAGGCTTTCTTGTGTGTGTACTGAGTGGGATAACCACAAGCCTCTTTTGAGATATTTTGACTTTATTTGTATAAAGTCACTCATTTGTAAATATATGGCGAACGTTGCAATTTAAAATGTGCTTTGTTTTTACATTTTTCTCCTTTGGCTTAGACTCCCTGCCCCATCTTTAAATTTCAGTGTTGGCAGAAATTGTAGATTTGTTCATTGTAGGCTGTCTATTTTCATACTTACACATGAATATAATGACAATAGTATATATTGAAAGAATATTTTAGTGAGTAAAAATGTCACCGGTTCCTTTAGAAGGAGTTTGACTCTTTGGAAATTAAAGTCTATTTTAGGATTGTTTGGATTTTATCAATCTTTCTCAAATGCTCCCAAAATTCAGACCAGCTGTCAGCAGCACCCAGACATACTGCTGTTGATGTTTTATTCTGTTTTATTATATTTATTTTCAGTCCCATACAGCTATTCCTTCACCCCACGAGGCTTTGCATGAATTGTGGGAGTGACTTCCGATTTGAACCGGAACCAGTGTCTTGTTTACACAGTAACTGGTTGCGCGAATCCACTTTCGATGACACAGACTTAAATAATGTGGAAACGCTTGTGGTTGCAGCTCGAAAGAGAAAACATTCCAATTCGGCTGATTAAGACTGACATGAAAATATTGACTCATTAACAATGAAATTATTATGATTGATCAGGAGTCCCAAAGCATGTCACACATTCAGCCAGCCCAAAGTCCCTGACCGGCCCTCCCAGTGGGTATGAAATCAAAATAAAATGTAAACTATGTGGTGCTTTTATTTTGAAAATCTTGCTTGTGTCTAAAGCAGGGGTGTCAAACTCATTTCACATTGTGGGCCACATACGGACTCGGTAGATGTCAAGTGGGCCGGACCATTAACATTATACCATACTGTGCTATGAATCATCAAAATATCATCTCTTTCCTTTGTTTTGGTCTCAAGAAGCATTGATTGGCGCTTTCATATCATTTGCTGCGTTGGGTCTATCTCGGTGACAGACTGAGACTGCTGTTTTCTTCCCCGATCAAAACAATGTTGTCTTCTACTGTGATCAAAACAGTGTGCCCCCTAGCGGATAATCCACGAATTGCATTTTATTTAAAATATTCATTCTGTGTCTTTCATGCATTTTTTTTCCACTTTTAAATCATCCCGCGGGCCGGATCAAACCTCCTTGGGGGCCGGTTCCGGCCCGCGGGCCGTATGTTTGACACCGCTGGTCTAAAGTGTTGCTAACTTCACGTTTTTTCATTTGCGAATGTACTCCAAATAACAACGTTGGTCCTAATAGCAGTATTCTAATTTCCTGCACAGTGAAGGGAAGAGGGCCAAGAAGATGTTGGTACAACCGCCAATAATATCCCAAGATGTACAAGACATTTTAAAATGCTATGAAGGCTAATGATCATTTAAAAAAGGAAACAACCCAGAAAAAAATGATTCATTAAAATAAACTGCTCTGGCAAATGAAAGCCGTTATAACAAATGAGCCACCGTTACTTCTGGTGTCTTCGAGGAGGTTGCTCTCACAATCGTTAGTGCATCTGTATGCAACAGGACTCTGATCAGTAGCGCTCACAAGGACTTTTCGTGAATTTCTGATGGTTTGACCAGAAACTAATGAATATTCCTCAGCATTTAAATAGCAAGTCCCTTTGCAGGTCATTCTTGGCGAACTGAGTGACAAAACAAGCTTTCACGTTGTGGTCGGGACACGGGTGGTATTGATTACCACCCGTGTCCCGACCACAATCGCGTGAGAATTTGGAAGACAACCAGAAAAAGTCGAGCATCGTCTTGTGTTCAGTGGCTGTGGTTGAGACTATAACCAAAAATAAGTACTGGAAACACCATATTTTATTCATATCCCAAAGCTTTCCCCGATTTTATTGTGGGAAGGGTATGGGGTGGTGCCTCAAAAAGGCCAGTTTCCAACCAAATCCATTACCTTTCAAAAGAAATCCTGCAAAATTTGTCATCACGTGCTTGTGCTTTACACCATTGTCTTGCCATCTTCCCCAGTTGTTTTGATCGGTGCATATAAGCTATTTAAACGATTTACTATGCGCTCATGATTTTCAATGACATCTTCAGTACATTTGGAGGAGATTTGCAAAACTATTTGCATATTAATCCACCCCTATATGGTACTCGGTCGGAATGAGTACCCATCGTGTCTAACTTGATGTGGCAGCTGAGTTACTGTTGCAGTTGATTCCTTTGCCTTTTTTGTTCCAAGAATTGTTGCCTTAGCACAAAGAAGTTGGTGCTTTTCATATGAGGGATCCGTGTATTTAAGAATTTCCCAGATACTTTGACCTGTGGTTAAGCTTAATTTTATTTATCGTGAGCCTTCAATTTTCCTCACCAAGCTCATACGACAAAGCTTGTGACGTGGAGTCCTCACCACAGTTGCGGGCAATTAGTTTATTTTGTACAGTACATCATTATGCAATAGGAGTTTGTACAGTACATTATTATGCAAAGTAATCTGGTTTCCAGACGTCTGGCATGCTCAGATCTATTCTGTGTTATGAAGTTTCCATAACTAATGGATGTTAATGGACATGTGCTGTGTTTTGACTATTGCAACACTTTGGTTTTATATCACCGCCACTTCTCAGGACTAACTGTATGAGGTACATTCTTCAAAGGTGACTGGATATATACTGTCTGTGTTGTAATAAAGTTTCCATTTTACAGTTGTAGCTTTCGTGCATTTGATGTAGCGCTAAACTGAGATACAGTATACAGTATTCATATCCTGCTGGGCACTTGCAATGATGTTTTGTACCAGTAGGTGGCAGCAGTGTCCATTGATTAAAAGGGTCTCATCTCGACGTGACTGTTTTAAATGTGCTGTCGCCTTTCTTGTGTGTATGAGTGGAACCTTATACTACACTAAATGCAATATTTTTTATTTTAATTGTTCCGAGTATGAGTTCAGTAAAGTGTCTTGTCCACATATACGCGTATGCATGATGGTAAGGGTGGAGTTATACGTTCAAGCATTACACTCAACCCAACGTTAACTCATAAATGGTGCGCTGCTTCTCACTTAATTTTGAATTCAACGGGGTGGGAGAGCACCTTTAAACAAATTAGCCACTTTAATGGAATTTTGTAGTCGCCCTAGACCGCTCTCACCGGTAGCCAAGTCCGGCCTAAACAAAGCTGAAGTTCGTCTAGTTTTTTATTTATTTTATTTTTTATTCCTTTTACTGACGCCGCTGCATCCCCGAAATCCTTGTCCAAGATTATTGCAGTCGATCTAAAGAAATTCTAATACAGTTGTTGGGTAAAAAGTGAGGATACGCCATCTGCTGGTGTTTTTCAACCTTGTCTTGAAATTGTTTTGAAATGTTTACCATTTGCGCCCATTGCAAACATACGGACAAAGATTACAACGTGATGATAGCGGTGTCTGGCCCTAAATATTTCATTGACTGTCAGCCCAACATCTGCTGACCTACCTCGCACGCAACTACCCACTCTTGCTGCATACACTGTCACTTTGCATTAGCACACACATCATCACTAGTGTCTCCCACTTGTCTCTCGACCCTTCTGCTCATATTCCCAACAAATATGCATCTACAGACAACCAAGTGGGAGTTACTTTAACACTTAATGTTTTCTTTCCTCCCCTCCTAAACTTAATTCCCACCTGCTTTCGACTACCACTCTCACTCGACCTATCAAATCAACATTTATGCGCAGCTTCCCACTTCCCGTCTCCCCTGCATCTTTATGTGGAGCCTCCGTTTCTCCTCACGTCTGTTGCCCTCCTTCTGACAGTATCAGTGGTGTTTCAACGGGGTTTTAATGGTCTGTCGTCTGAAACTCTTGGGAGGCTGTGGAGTAAGTACTAAAAGGAGGAAGACCTCTCAGGATAATGGGAGATGACGTGACCTTGTTTCCCTCTCCTGCAGATCAGCGATGTTATCGAAACGGTCTCCTCGATTTCACGCACCCTGATCAAATGCAATTGAAAGTAATCACTTTTTTTTCACACTTGTAAAAGATTTTCTCACAAGGTTTTGTGATTCTCTTGTCAGCTGTTATTTTGACTCATTTATCTCCGGCTTCAAAGGACCCACATTGATGTGCATTCTGCGATTGCTGATCGTGGCAATAGTAACAAATAAAGGGAACTTCTTGGGCGACAAAGGCTTCCCACGGTGCTGGGTCATGGATTCTTGCTCCATGCTTAATGCCTCTCTCTGTACTCTTTGGCCATTAGCACTTGGACATGCCCAGTATAATTCATTCATGTGAACTTAAGAGTTCCTAATTTATGGTATTTTCACAAAAGAGTCGCCACCCTCCCTTTAACCCACAGGGCAGATACTCAGTAGCCTCCTTGACAGCTTGTTTTAGTACAGAGGATTTCTACACCCTGGCCGACTATAATTCCAATGATAAACACACAACCTGTGTATGCATGAATACACTCATCCAAATGAAACACACTGATAAATAATAAATAATTCTGCCAGAGCAGTATAAGATCTCGACAAATATGGTCAGGTGTGGAAAATGTGTGCTCAAAACATGATCTAGACTTAGTATCATTGTAAGAAATTAACTGAATTAACGCTTCGGAGGTCAAGGTTCCCTCTTGATGTCTCCGCTGGCTGTGAATCAAGCTTTTAATATCCCAATGCTTGTTATACAGAAGTTAGGACATTTATTTGAAGGAATGAAACTACTCTTAGGCTGCACATTTATAACGTGTGAATCTCAATGTCTTTGGTGTTGTCATTACCTATATGTAAGAAAGGGCAGATATACGATAAATACTTAAGTATACATTGGAATACATGCCGATTGCCCAACATACTAATAATGGGAACGATGACTGTAAGTGATTTATTTTTATCATTATTTTTTTTTTAAATTCGAAACCAACATCATCTTTCGAAATCACCAGCTCCTGAAGGGACATTTGGCTTGCCAAGAAGCAGTAATCTTATTGTTTTCCTCCTTAGCTGGAGATTTATTAACTTCTCTGGTGTGGCACAGCGGTGGGACACGACTTGCTGTCAAGGAAGGAAAAGTTTGGTTATGGAGTGACAAAAATTTGTTACGCATGATGCTTTCAAAAATTCTGTTATGTCATTAAGTTATTGTAGAATGGAAGCTGTGACTTAAAGATCTCATTTTGGGATTGGATTTAAAGGGTTCTTCAGGTTAAGATCCTTATATGCCTTTAAATCGCTTCAAACAGATAGGCCAGCAGTGAAGGAAATGGTTTAAGGTACTGTACATGTACTCTATATGGCCAAGATTCGTTTCACAGAATTGTGCATGTTTTATTAGTCACTTGAGTACCATGTTTAATTAAAGCTCTGTCGACAACAGATAAAAAGAAACGATGCTTGTAAACTAAATCTCCTGAGCATAAAACAAGATGTTTACAAGTTTGGGGTGGGGAGTACATAAAACGTTTCATTGTTAGGCTAAAATGAAGACTTTCCAAGGATAATTAAGTGACATTTTTCCGTCAAGTCTTAAGTGACCTCCAGAAAAAGTACACCGCGTTTTCCCCGACATCTTAGTTGTGCTACAACTGGTCTATCGTCACGCGCAATCGCGGCAGGAAGTGACTATTAATCCTCAGTCGCAGTCTTGTTCCATCTCAACCGACAGTAGTTTCTAATGCGCTTACTCCGACCAAACCTGTGAATCCTGGATTGAAATGTCATGGAGGGCCATTGCTGTGATCCAAGTGTTATCCAGCTGGATTCCCAAATTGACACCTGTGTTTTAATAAAAGGTCTGACGACTGATCCGATTAACCAGATGGTTGTACAATACTCTCCAAAAAAAAAATAGATATATTTTGATCAGATTGTCCCCGCACTCCATTATGTCCACACAACTATGATCCTTTTAATTCTAAGAGGGAACAAGGGTACTTGGACGTTTTTTTTTTTTTTGTTTGTTTCTTGGTTCGCAGTGTTGGGCAATAATGAAAAAGACATATCGTACTTAATTCCAGTCATGAAGTTGAATCTGCACTTCTACTTGAGTATGTCTATTTCTTATGACGTCCTGGTTTTGTAATACATTTGAAAACTGTTATCTGGAGCTAAAAATTTTTTTTTTACTTTTTTTCGACCACTGCAGGTGATGACACAACGTAAAAAAACATACGTTGAGGGAACATCAACAGAAGATGAGATCTTGGTTGATTGATGGGGGTCTCGTAAGGTAGAAAAAAACCCCACATAGGACAGCAGTGACATGTAGGAGTGTGAACGAGAGAGCATTCATGAAAAAGAGCAACAGATTTGGAGACGGAAAATATTTCCCATCTATGGCCTTTTTCAATAAGAAGAAGGAAACTTTTTTTTGTGCCAAGTTATCAAAAGGAGTATGTGTGTAATTACCAGTAAACATTTGTTTTTACTTTTGTCCCTAAAAGTACACCATAATCGATCCAGTTTTACTTTTACCAAAAGCAGGAATTGATTTAGCGCTTCTACTTTTACCAGTTCTTTTTTTTTTTTTTTTAATCCATGTATCTGTTCTTATGCTTTACCACTTTTGGCCTGTGCCTGATTTACTTAACAGGATCACACAAACCGCATACAGTAACCCATTTCCACAAAAAAAAAATCCGATGGAGGAGGAATATGCCAAGGAGGAACCCGTGACATTTTAGTGCGGATGTGGATATTCTGCAGATGAATGTAATTTTCCTGTTCCTGCTCACTATGGCCTCAATGGAATCATCACATGCCATGTCCGTTGAATCCGTGGAAATTCTGGATCTGTTCGGCGACTAGAAGACTATAACTTAAGCATCTCCCCGCGCTTAGGCCAGATTTCTGCATAGCTATGGAGGATTTTACATTTAGTGCTCCCAAACTAGAAACATAAGGGGGACAAAGACTTTACGAGGTCCAGGAAAATCTGCTCGGTTGGAACAAACCACTGGAGCGAGGATATTTTAAGTACAGTATTCACCAAAGTGTTGTGAACTCCTTCTCAGTGTTTTTTTAAAGTTTGTGCGAGTTACATTCTGGTAAATGATTAAACACGTGTCACTTAGGCAAGTTTACATCGTGAGGGGAGAATCAATTTATAAAGCCATGTGTTTAAATAAAACATCGATCAAGCGTGACGGCATATTGTGGCATTGCATATTTTGTGTGACTCTTCGCCGATGAAACGTCCAAAAATCTTCAGGGTGTAGTTGGGCTCGCTAGAGATAAGTGAGGGCCCTAAAAGCCTTCTGCTGGCAGACTGTGGGAATTCCCAACACGTCTCGATCCGAGTAATACCGCAGGGATGGGAGGCTTAGAAAGGCAAGGGGCATTAATTCCCTAACCTAATGCCTCGGAACAGTAATGTTCTCAAGCGCGACATCTTTTAGTTTGCTGTATTTTATTATTTTTTTTAATATTAGACACTCAGTGCTTCTTATAAATAGCTGATGCATGCATTTAATAATAAATCAGTCCAGCTGTCATTTAATTAGGATGCAATAGGAATTGTTTTAGGCTCTAAATGATGCACCTACAGAACACGCATTCCATTGTCACAAATACAAAGTATTTTATTAGATTTTAAAGCTGTTTGAAATTGAAGTCCTGTTAGGGCTTCATTATATGGAATTAGAACTATATGGTTCTTGCTTCTGCGCAAACAACGATATGTCCCCCTCTTCCAAATTAGCTGACTTTGTATCATGAGTTTTAGATGAAATCTCAGACATTATTAAAGCGCCACGAGCACAAACGGGGAATTAAATCATGAAATTACGTTCATGATATCCAAAGATGCATCCTGTCTTCTCAACTTTTGGGTCAAAACCTGGAATGCCATTTATAAGCAAATGATGGCCGCTACAGTAGAGTGCTAGAAAATACATAATTGGCACACGGTTGACGATTGAATTGGGTTTGTCGTACTGAGCTTTTGCTCCTGCCGCCGGCATGTTCTTCTTTGTGGTTATCCTTTGCCATCATTCATTCATAGCCTAGAGTGTGGATATAATTCCACTACACATAAGGCTTCAAAGAGAATGTTCTCATACTACGGTTTTGGAGTACAATGAACACATGGGCCGGATTTACACATTTATGACCTCAACCTAAACATACCTTTGAAACCATCTGATCGCTTCATTCTTGCCTTGGTGTCAGCGATTATCAGGTTAACGTGACAGATGTGATAAATGATAGAAAGACTACGCCGGTGTTTCATGTAGAACAAATTCTGTTCCGTCGGTGTGTGTGAATTTCTTGACACAGCCCCGACAAAAATAGACTTTAAACATGCATTTTTAACTGAGCACACTGAAGGGTCCACTTCTGGGACTCCTCTCAGTCTTGCACTTCTTGTAGAATCATGGTGATTTTTCACATGACAATGAATTGGGGGTGGACTTTGTTAGGATTTGTTAGGATTTTCAAAACTTGATGACTTATTTTGGCATGAACATACTGTTGTTGTTGTTGTTGTTGTTGGAAACATAGGAAAAGCATAGCATAAATGTTCAGTTTTGCTGAGGCCTGTGCCACAGCCAACCACAATTTTTTGGGAGAAATATTTTTTTTTTCTTGATTGCATAACCCCATACTAGTAAACAAAAGGTGACTACAACACACAATGCTCAAAGCTGTGGGTTGGTGCACCAAAGTAGAGGGCAGCAGTAACTATCCATTTATTACTGTATGTCACATTTTCACTGCATTCATTTTGATATATAAACTTTTTTTTTTCTTTTTAAGTCACTATCACTGCAAATTATCCATATCCCAAAGTCATAGCGGCACCTCCCATCTGTTCATAAGCTTTCAGAAAGCAGGAAGTAAACTGCTTACTGATGAATCGAAAGAGTTTTCCGATGATGTCATGCACCTCTGGGCACAGCCGCGGCAGTGATCCGTTCCAGTGATTATCGAGTCTTTGAATAGACACATTTGATAGGCAACATAAAAAAAAAAAAAAAAAAGATGAACTGCTGTTTTATGTTTGTCTGCAACAAAACAGCTGCCAGGCGCAAAAAACTAATTTCACCATTTAACAGCACCGCTTTGGAATCAGACAAGCGGAGCGTTTGTCAAAGAATAGACAGAGACTACAGTACTATGATACTGTAATTTCATCATTGTACCACTCAGACTGCTCTGACAGTGTCATTCAAAAGACAAGTACGAATTTACTGCATTCTTGAAGGCAGACTTTCTTTTATGTGCACTCGTCATGGATGTTTTTAGATTATGCATGTCTACCAATTGTTTGAATAAGTGTATGTGTTGCTTCAGTTGACAAGTGATAACTCATCTTCTTAACTGCGTCCATGTTTTTTTTTCTTGGAAAAATAGTGAGGTTGAAGCTGTATATCAGAAGGTGAAGATGGTTTATTCCAGTTTTTGAACCCTCTACGGAATGACGGTCATCTGTTATATCGCTCTGATCCCACTGAGATTTTGCCTTCCTTCACTCTCCATATCTTTTAGTCGTCATAAAGTTATAATGATGATACAATCCCCATCCCTGGAGTCTCCAAAGTGCAGTCAAGTCTGGACTTTTGGTTTGGTGGATATTTCCACACACCACTCCATGTATGCACCACGTTGATGTAACAGCACACATGCACTTACACCACACTGCACATGTTAATGTAAGCATCATGTAGGTTTTAATCACATAGCCTAAACCGAATGTATTAGCCTTGACTTAATCATGGGAACTTTCATTTGAATTATTACTGTCACCACACAATCCACAATATCATTAAAACATTTATTCAAATTCATTATATGAATCCCTGTGAATAAGAGACACTGAATGGCTGTGACATTCGATCCCTCAGGCGGTACTGCATTAAAATCCATCATGAGTCTCGAAGGGATATTGCTGCTTCAGTTCGCAGACACTTTGGAGACACATTGTCAGCAAACACAACCCACAGCCAGACATTGCGTTGAGATAGTCTTACAGACTGCTATAACCTGAAAGGTGTATCTGATTTTAATTCTTAATGATAAAATGCGTGAGTAGAACGACTAGAATGGACCAATTGGAAACAGTTTTTAGCACAACTGCTTTTATCTGCATGATGACCCTTGTGAGGAAAATTGCAAAGTCTCTGAAACGTTGATCCTGTTCTTTTCTATTCAATTTAAAGTATTGAGATCATGCATGTGTTACTACATTTAAGTTATAAAATTAAACTACTTTACATTTTCTGTGTCTCTACAAGTGTAATTAACATGTGGATGTCAACTAATAAAGAGTTTTGCCTCACCCTAGAAACATGCACAGTAGTTTCTCTTCTATTATGCCCTATTCATTCAACTGCGAAGAAATGTCAGAATGTAGGAAAAGGGTATAGTGGGGGGGGGGGGGCGTTACCCGTAAGACGTCCTAGTCATTTTACAACTTGCAAAATTGTCGTACTTGAGATGACAAAAAGGATAATAGAAGCCTGCATCTAGCACCTCGTCTTGAGAAAAAAAGAAAAAAGCTCAAAATGGCTTTCGAAAACAATGTGTGTGGATAAGCATTTTGGAGGGGGCGGGGGGGACAAAAATGTTAGTCACATTCATCATGAATAAAACATTTCTCAAGTCTCAAAAGTCTTTGAAGTGTCTCCAGTCAGGGCAGTTAAACTCCGCCCCTGGTTCCACTGACAGCTGAAGCGCAGAACTTGAGTTTCTGGAGCTTGTTCGGTGTTTGGTCAACTGTCCTGTCCTAACTGGAGATTCTTTGGAGTTTTTTTTTTTTTTTGAAACAACTTCTTGGAATTTATGCACTTTTGGATACTTTTTCCCCTCACACAAAAAAAAAAAAGACAACCCCACTTTTGGGTGATATGAGGCAGCGTGCGTCCCGGGCAGGTGGCTTGAACCGTTATTGCCCACTTTGATGGAGGAACCCTTAACGCAAGCTCGCCATGGCTTATTATCCTTTCCAAGCGCAGCGACCGGGTGCGTTGCCCTTGCCAGCCTTTCTCTCCACCGCGCAAGTCTCCTTTCCTCCCACGCCGCGTGTCCCGGCCGTGGCGTCTCGATCCGAGGTTGAGCCCCAGCAGGTGGGCTGCTCCGAGACGGGGCTGCACGCAGCCCTGAGCCGGCAGCACCAAGCGGCCCAATTGCGCTCCTTGAAGAACCTGCAACCTGGGGACGGGTTGTGTGACGACCCCAAAGTCACTCTGGAATCCCAGGATTTATGGAACGAGTTTCACAAAATGGGAACCGAGATGGTTATCACTAAATCAGGACGGTGAGTGCTGGTGCAAAGAATTCAAGCGATGAATCCGTGAAATTTAGTGTTGAGAACGGGGATTTATTTATGGCTGAATATCCATTTAATCGTTTGAACACATTCATTGCATCTTCCTGTTTGGAATAATTTGGTTTCATTTTCATATGAGTCTAAAAATAGTGCTGCAGTCTTGTACAACTACAACCAGAACTGTAAACATTTTGTCAATCCATGTTATTCTTTTTTCTTTGCTCACACGCATAGTCATGTTGTAGCTGGTCAGTTATCAATCAATCAACAACTCAATAAATCAATCAATCAATGAACCACTTTTACTTATAGAGCACTTTTACAACAACCATCCAAGAGTGTTGTATAACAGGAATAAAAGGTGTTACATAAAAGGTGAGAAAGAGAAACAACCAAAACAAGTGAGGACAGACAGGTTGATAAAAAAAATTAGCTGGTCAGTTATCAATCAATCAACAACTCAATAAATCAATCAATCAATGAACCACTTTTACTTATAGAGCACTTTTACAACAACCATCCAAGAGTGTTGTATAACAGGAATAAAAGGTGTTACATAAAAGGCGAGAAACAGAAACAACCAAAACAAGTGAGGACAGACAGGATGATAAAAAAAAAAAAGACATGATCATATGCTCGGTTGAAAGCTAGGGAATTAAAGTCTTTTTATATGTGATTTTAAAATTATTATTGAGCTTAGGGGTCCCCTGTAGTTCCTAACAGCACAATTTAGTTTCTTCTTTTATGCATGGGAGAAATCGTTTCTAATGAAAAAAAAAATACTGTTTCTACTCATCATCTCTTACAGGAGGATGTTCCCACCTTTCAAAGTCAATGTTGATGGACTTGATAAAGCATCCAAATACATCCTCCTAATGGACATTGTCACCGTTGATGACTTTCGTTACAAGTTTCACAATTCCCGCTGGATCGTCGCCGGAAAAGCAGACCCAGAAATGCCAAAGCGCATGTACATTCATCCTGACAGTCCGTCCAAGGGAGAACAGTGGATGAGCAAGCCCGTTGCATTCCATAAATTGAAACTCACGAACAATATATCGGATAAACATGGATTTGTAAGTAGTCACATGTCTGAAATCACTTTGAAAATGTCAGCGTCTAACGAGTTTGTTTTGTTTCTAATTTGATTCTTTCTTTTTTTTTTTTTAGACAATTTTGAATTCAATGCATAAATACCAGCCCAGATTTCATATTGTGAGAGCCAACGACATCATGAAACTTCCATACAGCACATTCTTGACCTATGTTTTCCCGGAGACTGAATTTATTGCCGTCACCGCATATCAAAATGAGAAGGTACCTTCAGACACACCGAATCCAACTTTGCATTATTGCAAGATATCCAGAATGGACGGCTCTGAGGTTGGACCAAATCAACCAGGTCACACGTTGAGGGTGTCATCCAAACTGTTCTGCATGTTCTGGTTGAAACTATTTCAAATGAATAACTTGCAACTTGTCATGTGTTTTGCAAGATTACGCAGCTCAAAATTGACAACAACCCATTTGCCAAAGGATTCAGGGACACGGGAAACGGAAGACGAGAAAAGAGGTAGGCCTACTTGTAAGTGCAAAACCCTTTGGTTTGTCGTCATGGAGTTCTCATTCATCTAAATTCATGATCGACAGGAATAATCCTTTAAACATCTCTCCACCGGATGAGAACAAAGCATATTGTGCTGATTCGGATGACTCATGGGAACAGCCCAGAACCAGTGACCCGTTTCACTCTCCTCAGCAATCATGGGCTTTGACATCCATGCCAAACTGTCAAGGTGACACAATAACTATGTTGTTTCTTATCGGGTTGTGGTTGTATGAGTCTTTTCACGACATGCTAACGTGTTATAAACACAAACTTGCTTCACCCTAATTAATTTATATAAATTGCACGGAAGACATAAATTAGTCATTGAAGTCACATCCTTCAGTTGTTGATTTTGGGTACTGTTTAAATCTCAAGAGGCCATGCTTAATTTAAGAGCATAACACCCCCCGCCCCCACCCTCAAAAAAAAATTACGTCAGTGCATTTTTTTTTGATGATTGTGTAAATATGGACTGCTACTCATTCACTCCCAAAGACGTTTTTAAACGTCTTTTCAGACTTGGTCCAGAATTGGCTGGTACTGAATGAGTTTTTTAAATTAATGTACTAATATAACAAATTTAGGTGCTATGTTGTTGCTCATTCACAAGAGCCTGAATCAACAGCGCCTGTGCTGCTTGTAGCCAAGTACAAGTATTGCACTTCTTTTTCTTCTTTAAAACAATCCATTCGACACAATGAACTGAATTTCTAACGATCGATCGATTCGACGTGTCCTCACACTCTTTTCATTCCTTGTTTGCAGGTAAATCTGAAATTATACCGTTATCCTTCGTCGTATAACTTAAAATGATTTCTTCATGTTTTCCCTCATTGAGAGGTGTGGTGTGGTTTGTTTTGTACAGTCACATGTATTTCCTTTATTGGATATGTGCCACTTCCACATGAGGGATGATAGCGGAAGAAATTGTGCGCAGTGTGAGTCTGGCAGGGTGTCAACAAGCGCGTTTGCAGGAACATGAATGATTCAGTTGTTGGGGCCGGCAATATAAAGAACACAAGACAAAGAGAGAAGTTGTTGAAACGTAGCTCCCAATAAGTATGATTCAATTTGAAGGACCCCAAATAGTAAGAGTCAGCTCTGAGTCTGGCGCCATGAATTTAATCACGTCGTCCTGTTTTGTTTTGTTTTTTCCTCCAAATATTTGGTCGAGTACTTTCACCGAGTTGCCATACTGTGACAAAGCTGTTATGAAATCAACCAAGGCAAAAATGTGCCGCAACTGTTTTACTCCCAGTCACTCTCAACAGATGACAACAACACCGGAAGTGATTCAGATATTGATCTACAAGGTGATGATGATGGAGAAGCCGGTGGTTCTCAAACTGAATCTTCATCTCGACCGACTGTGAAGAGTGACAAGAAAGAACCAGCAATGTTGAGTAAGAAGTTTTCCACGGAGAGTGATTCCTCACAAAGCAACAGGAGTAAAATCAAAGATGGCACACACCCTATGTTATTGGAAACACAGAGCTCGGCATGGCTCAGTACTGGACATCGTCAGACTGCGGCTCTCTCAAACAGCCAACGGTGTCTTGAGCTTGGACCGCCTTTGCTGTTTCACCAGGGCCAGTTGTCAATGAAGACAGAGGCTATTCACTCTACATCTATGGGACATCTGTTTTCCTCTTTCTCAGGATTCAATGACCCAGAACACGGGGGTGTATTTTCTCAAAACATCTCCTCGCCATCTCCGTTCATGTTTCACCTGTCACAGCATGTGTTGGTGCCACAGGTAAGTTCATGTTGGGTCCCTCCGTGTACCATTTAAACATGCATTGTATTTTAAGATCAAAATCACTTGATTCTCCATTGATCAGCTCCGCCAAAATACTTGAAAGCAATGAGAATAATAGTCAACTATATCTCAGAAACACAACCTTCCAAGTTTTTAGATCTATCTTTATCTGAATTCATACTCTCGTCAGCCATTACTTTACACCTTTAAACTCAGATGAAATAATGAACAATGTTCAGATCTGGCATTTTACAAACACAGATGAGGCCAAGATGGCCATGACGACAGTGTTGTGGAGAATCCTGGAAGAATACTTTCGGGAGTGCATGAAAGGGTGGCATAGGAGGCTGGAAAATCATATTAGACTGCAGGAGAATACCTTCAATGGAAAATCTTGTGGTTTGGATTGAAAATATATATTTTGTTACACCAGTCCGAGAACTCTTTTGACATACCTCATAGTTGAATTCTTATTTCCGGCAGAGTGAGCATTGTATTTCCATTCCTACGTATTGGATGTCAAAATTAGCACGTTAATCCATCTTAACTCTAATCAAGTGACAGAATCATTATTGAGATTCGAAAAGTTAAGAAGACACTCTCATTGAACAATATTTTTTTTGTCATAAGGAGTTATTAAAATGATTATTTAACTTTTGTTTCTATAACCAGGCACTGTCACTACCACCTTTTGGAGGACTGCTTTCATACCCGTGGAGCTACTTGACATCACCGGCTGCAATGACTTCAGCTCTCCCAACCGGTTCCGCAACATCAGCGTTTCTAAGAAACCGCTCTTTTCACAGCTCTTTGCCGTGGTTGCGAATGAGTCCCTATCAGATCCCAGCTGCCGGCATATCAAGTCAAAAGCTACTGACAGCAAGTTCGAGCTCAAATGAATTTGATCAGGACCAACTGTGTAACCAAGGGACCAGTGCAGGGTCTGCTAATAACACCGATACCAAGTCCAGAAACGATCAGACTGTTTCACTGAAAAATGTTCACGTTTCTTCAGACGGATTTCAAAATATTCAAAATGGTGTGTTTGAAAAATCCGTCTCTCTATAACGATAAACATCTCTGAATGTTCAAATCCGTTTTGTACATGTCAATGACAATCAATGTCAACAAATCAATGAAATGTAAACCTCATGCTGAAATCACAAACACTGGTTCATGATTAACTTTTAAGTTAGTCACATTGCTTGCAGCAGAAGCTTCCGTTCTTCTGGAACGTCTTTCTACACGATCTTTGAGTTTGTCTGTGGGATTGTTTGTCAAAATATCACTGTAGAATCTGGATCAGAGCAAGAATGTGATGAATATTGAATGATGTCTCATGAAAAATGCTCAGGTCAACTGGGTTCAAAGGGGGGTTGAGCACTCCACTGTTTTTTTTCAGCTGATTTGAATCTCTCGCCATCACAGATGAATTTGTGGGGATTATTCATTGTCCACCTAAAACAACAATATCACTATTTATTCTTCATTTTAACGACACCTCCCTATTTAAGGACCTTTTTTGTTTTTGTCATTTAAAAAAAATTCACACATTGTAAAATGCACATCTTAGACCGTCATTATCAAAACTGCCAAAGTTGCGAAGACATTTGATCACTTGTCACCTGTACACGTTTACATTATTTTTGATGTAGCAGAGCAACACTATGCACTCATAGGTAAACTCAGGACACTTTTTTTGCCTGTTTTCACAAATAAAGTAAAGACTAATAACATAAAGACACTCAAGTATGTGGCTGCCTCCGGGCAAATCATGTAATAAAAACACAACCACGGCTGCCATGTTAATTTGGCATGTACAAATATAGCCTATTTGAAAATGTGAATGTGGATTTTAGTAATAATTGTGTCTGTTTTGAAAGTGCATACATTTTGTTGTGCCTATCTTTCACGTTAGGATGTAATATTCAAAGCGTGACACAAAATTGCAGTTCTTGGCGCCAAGAGGTCAGGTCGTCCACCAAGAGTAAAATTGAACTGCAAAAAAAAAAAAAAACAACCATCAGTGCATGTGCTGTTGTGTGAATTTTCTCCTTGACTGAACGGGGCTACATACTGAGAGAACATGTCCACTGACTCGGAAACGTGGCAAACAGGTCAATAGCCAAGTTTGGCCGTCAGCACAAAACTTTTACATTTCTGGGGAGGTCTCATGGGTTCTATGTAAGGGGAGAGGAAAATGACTACGGTTAACAAGCAGCCACCATTCCAGGACTACAGGATCAACACAAAGGACTTGGGACTGAAATCGATTACCTAACTCTTCCAACTGTGCACTCACTATATAAAACTGACAGAGGCACTGAATAAACTAATGTCTTTCATTTGTCCTCTACATGGAGACAACACCAGTTTGTCCAATCACCAGCCACAACATTAAGTACAATTCTACCTTTATAAAAATAATACTACTGTAAAGAACTGGTTTACTTGACTCTGATAAATGTACATTGTTATTGATAATGTGCATACACACGACTCACAAAAAGTTAGGGACATTTGGTTTTCAGGTGAAATTTCACGACGAGCCGAAAATGCACATGTCCAACTCTTAAATGTTTCAATACTTTTTGCACAAGTTGCTATTCTCTGATGAGGATCTTAAAAGCAAAATTCACAACAGGCGTTTGATCCTTGAATCGACCAAAAAATGTCCTGGTTCAGTTTGAGCTAGTGTTTAAACAGTCGTTCTAATCATGCTGTTCAAATTTGGACATCATGAGACCAAGACGACACCTAACAATGGATCAACAGTGCCTCGCCATTGTGATGCTTAAAACAGGGCATTCTCAAACGGAAGTGGCAACTGAGGTGAGAATGTCAGCCTCTGTTGATATAGCGACATACCGGCAGCACGCTGTAACACCATTAAAATGAAAACAAAACTTTACTGTCAGTGATAAACCATGCTGTTCCGAGCCAATTTGCTTTCAGCTGCATACCACGGTATTTTAAAGCCATCTAGTGGATTAGAATTGTACTGACGATGTGTACATATACGTCAATGTACATTTTGGGAGTACTGTACAAAAAAAAAGTACCGTACATGTCGCACAAGGTCAGGCTTGTGGTTGTCAAATTGCCTGCTAAATCAGTGCAGGTTTTCCTATAATTACCAATACCAACGCTCCAACAGTAGTAATATTTTAAGAATGTAAAAACTGGTTCTTTTTGCTAAATGTTACTAAATATTATCGGGGCTCTCAAGACCAATGTTTGACAGCAGACTTTTGTATGGAAAAAAAATATGTAAAAAATATTATTTGATAATTTGATGTCTATTGTATAGGTTGCTATCAAATACAGTCTGCTGATAGTTTCACCCGATGAGAACACACACAATTAAGGACACGTGGTTTTGGTATACACTGTTTGTAGTACAATAATTTTGTAGGGTTTCCATGGTTTTGTTGTGGCTGTGGCACATGCAGTACACGCCAGGAGAGGCAAAACTCGCCCACAGAAACGCCCCTAATATTTCATTGGTTCCCAGAATGAGACCGTCTAGAGCTAGATCAAATAGATGCCTTGTTTACAAGATTTGTCTGCGACGAAGGAATCTCAAACGCGATAAATTGTTATTTTTTTATTGATCATGGTTTAGATTAATATTTTTGAGGAAGCCAAAATTGCTACTTATATTGCATTCTCTTCTTGCGTTTAAATAAGTGAATACTAATCCCTTTAATTTGTATATTTCAGTGTTGGTAGTAGACACAATTATTGAAATAAAAACTACACGAAATATTAATAATTATTCCGATTTTATTATTATTTATTTACACATAAGGAAAAAGCATACTCGAAGCCGTTTTGGGGGCGGAGTCAATTCTGCCTAGCGTGTTTCTATGTCGGAAGTTGGGGTCAGAGGGGAATGTACAGAAGTAACCTGGTTGAGTATCGTCACATCACCCCACACTCGGGTGTTTCAAGCCTCTGAACCGGCAACTGTGACATCATCATGATGTGATTTCACCCCGGAAACGGATGTCTTCTAAACGCCAGTAATTCATTGAAGTCTTCAACTCAACTGTTCAGGATTGCGTGCAGGTTTATCTCCACCGGTGAGTTGACGTTGAAGACGCTGTATAATCGGACGGTCCATCACCTAATGCATACAGTAGATTGCGAGTACAATACAGCGGCTACAGTATCCATGAGCTTTATAGTCTGCTCGCTAGCAAGCGTTTCTATTGAATTTGTGTGTTAAAACAGGATCATTAGCATTTATTCGCTACTAATCGACAGTTGGCAGTTTGCACAAAAGCTGTCTGGCAGCTTGTCTGAAAAAGGAAAAAAAACACTGCTTTCTTTTTGATAATTTTGTATATTTTTGTAATTTGTCGTCTAAAATCGTTCCCTGTTGTTTCCCTCGGTGTGAACTACGGTTAGTTTTTCAAGTCCCCCGTGCAGTTTGTTTCGGGTTGGTGGGGGGTGCCATCACTTAAGGTCGAGAGCACTGCTGGTCCACTTGCAAAAGATGCTGGCGTTCGGACAAAAACTCACATGTGGAGTCCACGTGATTGATGGTCAAAGGCAGCTTCTTTAGCGTTATTCCATAAAGTTTTATAATTCAAAGAACAGTTTCCTTGGTTAACAGCTGTGACAGTTTTTTTTTTATTGTAGGTGTAAAGCACTATGCAGTACAGTACTCGTACGGATGGGCATCTTACGGTTACGATTCGATATGGTGCCGCTTTAGATTTATTCACGTTTATGTCTCCTATAAAAATGATTTTATACGTATCTTGATACATGGGGTGCTCTACCGTGCAAAGGATGCAATGATTTTACAATGTAAACCTTTGATTCGGTTCGTCAAATCAAAACCAATTTTCTGTTTCAAATCGTTTTGGTTACAGCGCTAAGTACTAGTCTGAACGTATTTATATTGACACTACAAGCCATCTTTTTCTTTATATTTGCGGTTGTTTTTTAATTTATATTTTTATCTACTGCACGATACAGAAAGAAATCAAAGGATGCAAGAGACACTGACATTCTTCACCTTTAACCTCTCTCACTCTCTCTCTCTCTCTCTCTCTCTCTCTGTAGTGTATGTGTGTGTATATATTTTATATATAATGTCCATCCATCCTTTTTTTAATCTGCTTATCCTCGGAGGGTCACGGGCGTGCTAGAGCCTATCCCATCTGTCTTCGGGCAGTAGGCAGGGTACACCCTGAACTGGGTGTCAACCAATCGCAGGGCACACTCCACATAGGAAGGCTGGAACTGGAATCGAACCCTGCACTTCTGCACTGTGAGGCGGACGTGCTAACCAGATGTCTACTCTGCCGCCTATATATAATATGTATTCAGATTCAGATTCATTCAGATTCAGAAAACTTTATTTATCCCCGTGTCTAGTGTATAGTGTAATATGTGTTCGGGGTTTGTATCAGCTGTACATTCTACAATTTTAGAGCTGCTCTCTAACGATGATACTAATAATCAATTAATCCGTCCTTTTTTTTTTGCGATAAATTGATGAATCCGATTTTAAAAAGAAAAACATTCTATCCAAACGTATATAAAAACAGGACATTATTTCAAATTGACAGGGCAAAATATGCCTATTATGATTCGTTTACTGGTTTGATCTTTAACATGTATTGTTCAAGAAAGTTGGTGTGGACTGGGAATGCTATACTCCACACAAACTGGTCTCTAGTTCCCCCGCCTGAACGCCCAGCGAGTTGCAACTCGGTCCCAACATGAGAAATTACACTTACCCCAGCACCAAAATGAAGATGCGCCCCTGTTTACGCCGTGATCTTCGAAAATGCCTCTATGGGCCGAGGACTGTAGTTTGGACACCCCTGTGCTACTTGGATTAAAGTCAGTTCTCTAAAAACTGGGATTTGTGTCCAGACTGTCCATGTATGGGTGACGGTGTTGCAATAGCTATTGCATCATCATTACTATCTTTTTAAGCAAGAAGCTTTTGCAACCAGTCAAACAGCATCTCATGCCAGTTGACCTGATGACTGACTGATGTCCGGACTCTTTACTGTCAGTGATAACTTTTTTTGCCTGCACTCTGCTGTTCTCCATTGTCCAGTGGTTGCAGCCTGTACGTGTCATCCAGCCATGGCACAGCAGGAAGATGCTGCCAAGAAGCACCCAGCTATGGCGGCAGTGCACTCCCACTTCATTGTGGGATCGGTGTCTGAGGAGAATTCAGAAGATGAAGTCCAAGGGAAACCGGATGTGCAGCTGGAAGAGAAGGAGGGACGGTCTTTGTCACCTTCATCCGGGAGCTCTGATAGCACCAATGACAATAGCTTTGAGCACATTGATGCCTCCATACTGAACAATCTAAGGTTAGAAATCAGACCTTATAATAATTGGAGTGTTTGTTTATATACTTAGTATTGTATTGTGCTCAAATTGTTTGATCACTTCTAAACTTTTTTTTTAAAGCAGTCATTTAAAAAATGAACAGGATACGATGAAATAATAATAACAAAACAAAAAAAAGATGAGCATCTTTAAGATTTCAGACAACCCTGTTCCTGTTCTTGCTGGTCACAATTTCAAAGCCATTTTTTAGATTTCCTCTGTAATTTTTCTCGGGTGGTATTGTTTTATACTGTATTTTGAAATCGCTGTGGTTATTATCCAGTGCCATTGCTAAAAGAGTAAGTCTAAAATGTCTAGTGTATGTTAAATGTTGCACTCTATTAACACTACCAATGTGAGATGCAAAATGAAGCCCCTTCAAGCTTCCAATGTAGCACTTGTGTCCGACTTCGAGAGGCCTCACCTGGAGTTTCACGCCTATGGTTTGCATGTGTGAAAAATGTGGTTTCACTGGCTACTCGCTGCTTAAAAGCGTCTCTCTGTGTCCCCCTGGCCTGTGGGTTTTGGGTGGAAAGTAGGTGTCAACTTCAGGAATTTAGGTTGAGCAAAACATTCATGAATGCCCCATCTGCGTTGTAAATGGGGCTATTCAGTTTGATAAAGTAACACAGCCGATTAGCTTGAGGTAGCTGTTTTGGGGTTATGGGGCACCATGATTGAAGCCTACTTAGAGGTTAGATTTTTAGAATAAGATGTTACATCTGGCTGGAATAAGAAGTATTATTTTCTGGGTTACATTGTAAGAGGCTTCAACATCCTTGAAAAATGGAAATGCTTTTTGCCCTCTCTCATACTTTCACTCTCCATACTTACAAAACTTTGGTCCACATAAGGACTTTCACAATCAATCTGTCTTACAGGCGTGGGTTTTCACTCTTCTAGTAACTTGGAGGGTGTTTCAATCATGCAAAAAAAAAAAAAAAAAATCACGTGACAGAAAGCAGCCAGCAAAACGGGCTTAGACACTGGCACACCCTCCTGCTCAGTGTGGCGTCCCTCGTCCTGTATAAACCCCAGTTGGGTGGAGCTTCGAGTCAAAAAGCTTGCCAAGTCAAACTTATTTCTAAAGTTTGAATAATCTTGTAGTTATGATGTGTCTGATTAATGTATCATTCAAAAGATGAATCTCCCCCTTGAGAAGAAAATCCTCTTTTTCACTCATTTTTATTCCACACAAGATTTCTATGAGGAAAAAACCCCCACACACTTTCCACAAGTGTGGAATGTGTCGCTGAAGCGTGGCTCAGCTTGAAACTATTGATTGAAGTATCTGTCACAAATTATGTGCAGTAATTATATGATGCAATGGGTGTTGAGGGCTGCGTACAATGTTTATTGTTGTGAAGGAAAGACCAGCTTTGACTCAGGTCTGCCGGATTCAAAAGCCAGTTGTTCAACTCCTTTGTCCGCAACCATGTGGCTATTGACATTCTTCATAACTGAGGCCAGCGTTGCACACAAATTGTTGAAAATGGGCACCGAGCAATTCTCTTTTTGTTCTGCGTGTAAGTTAGCTATAGTATATAATATATACACGGAATGGAGACATTAATAAATGTTTGTACTTCTATAAACAGGCCGAGCATGTCTGGGCTGCACTTGATGAAACAAAATCGCGATCGCCGACGTACTGATCTGCAGAGGGACTTCACCGTGGCATCTCCTGCTGAGTTTGTCACACGTTTTGGTGGCAACAAGGTCATTGAGAAGGTAACTGTCATGGTCTCCTGCTTATTGCACCAAATGTAAAAAAAAAAAAAAAAAAAAAAATCCATGCTGTCATAGAAAGCTAGTTGCAGGCATTCTCATGCATCATCATAATTGGACTACATTATTGATGCTAATATTTTGCTTTTCCAGGTGCTTATTGCTAATAATGGAATTGCTGCAGTTAAGTGCATGCGCTCTATTCGCCGCTGGGCTTACGAGATGTTTCGGAACGAACGAGCAATCCGATTTGTGGTGATGGTAACCCCGGAGGACCTGAAGGCCAATGCCGGTGAGGATTGGCAAGATTATGTTGGAAGTTATAATTTAAAAATTTAAGTGAAAGTTAATGTTGTCAAACTGCACAGCGGCTGTTCCAAATTCAGTTCCCTTATACATTTTATATGGAAACATGCTGTTACAGAAGTAAATGCAAAAAAACAGACTATAGTTTATAATCCCCAGCCACCATGCAAAACTGCCCTGCAGTTGTTCTGAGAAAGACCCCAGATGACATCATCTAACCATTTTTCAATCATTTTTTGTTTAAGTGCTCTGCTCTTGTCACAACTTCTGTGATTGTAAAGTCCCAATATTTCTGAACGGATACACGAAAAATACTGTGTCACCTTTCTGCATAAAAACAGATTTTGTTCTTTGAGTCTGTATCAGTTGAAAAATTCCAGCGTTATCAGGCGTTATTCAAACCAAAGGGCAGAGAAATTTTTTAAGTGCTTTTTTCGGGGGGGAGGCGGGTACGTGAGATCATGAGTGAATGATTTGCTCTATTCACAGAAGTAAAGCCCAGTTGAACTTTAGCTAGTGACATGGTAACATTTTTGATTTGTCAGTTTTTTTTTTCTTTCCCGCAGAATACATAAAAATGGCAGATCATTATGTGCCTGTGCCAGGAGGGACTAATAACAACAACTATGCCAATGTGGAGCTCATTTTGGACATAGCTAAACGAATACCTGTGCAGGTACCCCCATGCATTTAATGCACTGATTTCTTTTGCACCATACGAGATAAAGGTGCTGATGTTATCTTACAGGCTGTGTGGGCTGGATGGGGTCATGCATCAGAGAACCCCAAACTGCCAGAGCTGCTCCATAAGCATGGCATTGCTTTTATGGGTAAGATATGAATTCTGGCTTCGCAGCTTGAACTCATCTACCAGTATTTGTTTTTTTACGAAATACTTCCTCCTTAGGTCCTCCGAGTCAGGCGATGTGGGCACTTGGAGATAAGATTGCTTCATCTATTGTGGCCCAGACTGCTGGCATCCCCACCTTGCCATGGAGTGGATCAGGTATGTTTTGCTTTATGCCCCATTCTTTTACAAAAACAGCCTCTGATTGTCAGATTTTATGTCTTCTCTTTCCGCATCTACTCTGACTCAGAAATAATGGAGAAGACTGATGCAAACCCTTTCCGTCTTTCTGGAAATTTACACACTGATACCACAACTTTTGCCAAAAGAGCTTAACATGTGTATGTTTTTTATGCATATCGAGCTGTCACTAACAAATCTTTTTCGGATCGATTATCCTATGAAACATTCCATCGATTACTCGGGTAAATCTGCTCGTCGTCAGTTGTACGCGTTCCCGTGTTCCCATCCCCAAAACTAGATTTGAAATTGTGTTCCCCAGTGTTATATGTGGTTAATATCTTCCCTGTTTCTCTCTCCCAGGCCTGACAGTCAAATGGCTTGAGGTCAACCAAAAAAAACGAATTATCAATGTTCCTCATGATTTGTATGAGCTTGGCTGCATCCATGATGTAGACAAAGGCCTGGAAGTAAGTGCATTGTCAAAGTGAGCAATCAGAGTCTTCGGTCTCACATGTGCTGCAGTGTACTGTGCAAAACTGCGTGTATGCGCTAACATTTTTTTCGTGTCTCCCGACAGGCTGCTGACAAGATCGGCTACCCAGTTATGGTGAAAGCCTCAGAAGGAGGGGGAGGCAAAGGGATCCGTAAAGTTAACAGCGCTGATGATTTCCCAAACCTATTCAGACAAGTGCGCGAATCACCATATTTGAAGTTTCAATTCATGATTGAAATTGTTGAAACGTATTCAATCTTTCCCACTTAATGTTTCAGGTCCAGGCAGAGGTTCCAGGTTCCCCCGTGTTCGTCATGCAGCTCGCCAGACATGCCCGCCACTTGGAGGTTCAGATCTTGGCAGACCAATACGGCAATGCCATTTCCTTGTTTAGCAGAGATTGTTCAGTCCAGCGGCGACATCAGAAAATTATAGAGGAGGCGCCTGCCACCATTGCCCCATCTGATGTGTTTGAAGATATGGAAAGGGTAGGCTCACCATTTCTAAAACCACCTCAGTGGGCACAGAAGCAGTGTAGAAATTGGACGATGAATTCACTTGAAATGTATTCCGTATCCAGTGTGCTGTGAAGCTGGCCAAGATGGTGGGCTATGTAAGTGCGGGCACAGTGGAATACCTCTATAGCCAAGATGGCAGCTTCTACTTCCTGGAGCTCAACCCTCGTCTGCAGGTTGAACACCCTTGTACTGAGATGGTGGCTGATGTCAACTTACCCGCTGCCCAGTTGCAAGTGAGTTCCAAATATGTCTGCGCTGGTAGAAAAAAAAAAAAGACAAGCTGTATACCACGCCCAATTTGGTTGGCTCTCTCTGACTATCGGACAGCAGACAGTCTTTATGCTTGATTGCATCTAATAGTCTACGTTAGACGAGGCCCCTCATCTCCATGGCAACTAAACTGCCCAAAAGAGACATTGTTGCCAATGTAGGGGTTGAAGCGGCAATCGGTCACATGACGTGCACCCGCTGTGTTCAAGATTTTGCTTGAATTTAGGTCAGCGGCAGTCAAGCTGAAAGGCAGTGTTGCAAGGGAAAGCTGTCACTTTTGAGCTTGATTGGACGTCACTGTTGAGAGTGACATATTTGTTTTGCAGGCAAACAGCGCCCACTATTTTTTTACTCGATGGTTATTTTTCAATTGAGTCATTTCTGAGAGATGAATGTTATTTTTCCAGAATATTCCTGTCTTTTTTGTCTTGTTTTACATAATGGAGGCCCCATCCTGTCCCCGAAAACAACAGATGACAAACCCCCCCCCCCCCCCCCCCAAAAAAGCATGTCATGATAACATGGTTCTTTGGGCTCTTTATCCACCCCGCTATAGATTGCAATGGGCATCCCCCTTTATCGAATCAAAGACATCAGGATGCTTTATGGGACGCAGCCCTGGGGTGACTCTCCCATCGACTTTGACGGTCTGTCGACGGCCGCCTCCCCACGAGGTCACGTCATAGCAGCTCGCATCACCAGTGAAAATCCAGATGAGGTGTGCTTATTGCTCATCCAAACGAGACTTTGACAAAGTTTCTTTTCAAAGCTCAGGCTGTATGTTTTCATCAAATGGTCTCTCATTGCAGGGTTTCAAACCGAGCTCCGGCACTGTACAAGAGCTAAACTTTCGCAGCAATAAGAACGTGTGGGGCTACTTCAGTGTTGCAGCCGCTGGTGGACTGCATGAGTTTGCGGACTCCCAATTTGGACACTGTTTTTCATGGGGAGAGAATCGTGAAGAAGCCATTTCGTAAGTGTTTTACTGGAGTCACAAAATCTTTGATCAACTCCTTGCTGTTCATCTTATTGGGAAATTTGTGATTTTTCTAGTAACATGGTAGTTGCTTTGAAAGAGTTGTCTATCAGAGGAGACTTCAGGACCACTGTGGAATACCTCATAAAGCTGCTGGAAACACAAAGCTTTCAGCACAACACCATCGACACGGGCTGGCTGGATCGGCTCATCTCAGAGAAGATGCAGGTTGGCACAGATGCTCCTGCTTCGACCGCTTTCTGCTTCTCCCCAAATGATTGAGAAACACTGCACTGGCGATTGCGCTTGTAATAATTCTGGTCCCGTACTGTTCTAAAATGATTTGTTGCATTCAGGCTGAGCGTCCAGACACAATGCTGGGGCTTGTGAGTGGAGCTCTTCATGTGGCAGATGTTAATCTAAGAAACAGTGTGTCCATTTTCCTGCATTCTCTGGAGAGGTAAGCGTGCGGCCATCATTTTTGTCCTTTTGACATGAAACGCTGGACCCTCAGGACTCAACCATAATCCATTCCAGGAAGTTGTTTAATGGTTGATTTGTTCAGATACTGTATTGAGTGGATTTTCCCCGTTGGGGGATAACCAAAATATATTGAATGAATCAGTTGCATAGCTCAGTAGTTTTGCCACTAGAATCCTCTTTAAGTATTTTATTTGGGTTGAGAGGTATAGGTAGATCGAGCTTGTATTAAATCATGTGCATTGTGATCTAGGGGTCAGGTGCTGGCAGCACACACACTTCTCAATACAGTGGATGTGGAACTGATCTATGAAGACATCAAGTACATCCTGACTGTGACTCGCCAATCTCCCAACTCATATGTGCTCATCATGAACAACTCCACAGTCGAAGTGGATGTCCATCGGCTAAGCGACGGAGGTTTGTTGCTGTCCTACGACGGCAGCAGCTACACGACCTACATGAAGGAAGAGGTAGACAGGTAAGACAAAGATCCATTTGCTCTTTAGCGGAACCACACCAAGATATTCTTCATTTACTTATGATCCCAACTGGTTTATGTTCTCGAAAGTTATCGCATCACCATAGGAAACAAGACCTGTGTTTTCGAAAAGGAGAACGACCCATCGCTGCTGCGATCTCCCTCAGCAGGAAAAATCATCCAGTACACGGTCGAAGATGGCGGTCATGTTTTTTCTGGCCAGTGTTACGCTGAAATAGAAGTATGTTATTTTTGTGTGCAGTGTCCTTATTGGAATGTTGGTTGAGTCGAATCTCCTGATTTCAATTGCAGGTGATGAAGATGGTCATGACCCTCACTGCTGCTGAGTCTGGTTGTATTCACTATGTGAAGAGGGCGGGAGCATCACTTGAACCCGGCTGTGTCATAGCCAAACTTCAACTTGACGACCCCACACGGGTGCAACAGGTAAGCTGTCGGAGCGATGCGCTTTTGCATGTCAAATAGCAATTTGTAATTTCCACATGCAAACGTTCCTGTTTAAATTTGTATGTTTCTACTTCTCAGTCCTTCCGGTGTCCTGCAGTTCATATATATGTATATAAATATAATTCTATATATTTGATACAGATGTTTTACATCTTAAATTGACCAGCCTTCATCTATTGACTCTTACTAGTAGTCTGGCCTTGCTGAGAAAAATATAATTTTAACATTGAGCCACCATTTCCTGTTTGATATCAATCAGGCTAAAGCTGCTCCAACAGAGGAAAATGTCAAAAAAAAACAACAACAAAAAACATGCTGAATGAAGAAATACAAATTGTCTGTACGTTTTCAAATTATTTTGTGTATTTGTTTTGCAGGCAGAGCTACATACAGGTACCTTGCCCTCTACCCAGGCTGTTGCTCTGCGAGGAGAGAAACTACACAGAGTTTTCCACAACACACTGGATCATCTTGTTCACGTCATGAACGGCTACTGTCTCCCTGAGCCTTTTTTTAGCACCAAGGTGAGATGTCACACAACACCTGGTAAAACCAAAAAAAAAAAGCGATACATAATAGAGGCTGTTTCCCGAACACCCTAACTTTTGTAATTCCCAGTTGAAAGAGTGGGTCGAAAGGCTGATGAAAACCATGCGTGACCCCTCGTTGCCGCTGTTGGAGCTTCAAGACATTATGACCAGCGTCTCAGGTCGCATCCCCCCTGCCGTGGAGAAAGCCATCAAGAAGGAGATGGCTCAGTATGCCAGCAACATCACCTCAGTGCTCTGCCAGTTCCCCAGTCAGCAGGTGGTCCACTCTACACACACACACACACACATACACACTACCGTGCACAATGATAAACCGCAGCATTGCCTGCTGAAAGGATTGGAGTGAGAATTGATTTTTTTTTATTTTTTATGTCATTTACTATTTTGTGTGTGTATGTTACTGTATATTCATATCAATATGAGGATTGATTGGTCTCCGAGACAATGGAGGCATGATTAATTTCACTATGCACCGGCAACCAGCAGAGGATGCAGATAACATGTGTGAAATTAAAAATTGAGTTTAGGTGGAAAGTATCAAGTCCTGCTACAAATAGACAAAATCCTCGAGTAGATGATGCGCCACAAAAAAAGTTTATAATGACCTATAAATGCCACAAGATGGCAACATAGTACTACATTTGTCTGAATTCCTCAACTCATTGGTACCAAAGTAAAGGTTTTATTGTTTTGGCTTCAGTCCAAAAACAATCAAAATGTGAGTTTTGAGGTTACTGGAGTCTCATATTTCTCACTGGGAATTTGTAGGAACGAGTTTATTTGATTGTGAAGAATATGGGACCTGTTTTTGTTTTTAAAATATGGAATCAAGGAAGTTGTAGTTAAATCGTTAAGAAAAGTGGGCTAATTATCAATTCATTTTGGATTAGGTCTAAGACTTGCATCCTCCACTTCTGAATTTTAAAATGACAAATTTAGTCAATAGATTTCTAATATAGTTGCTGGTGGGATTACAAACTTATATATTGTATATTGCCCTGCTTTCTAGATTGCAAACATCCTGGACAGCCATGCTGCAACGCTGAACAAGAAGTCTGAAAGAGAAGTCTTCTTCATGAACACGCAAAGCATTGTTCAGCTGGTGCAAAAGTGAGTGCCACATTCTGCAACTTGTGTGAATGTAATCATACAGGCCGACAACTTGTATTTAATAATTTTGACATTTATAAGATATTAGTCACACGACGAATGGATCTCCACTTTATAATAACAATAGATTCGTACCCATTTTTGTTGTTGATTTTTCTTACAGATATCGCAGTGGGATCCGAGGTTACATGAAAGCGGTGGTGATCGATTTACTCCGACAATACCTGAAAGTCGAGATCCAGTTTCAGAATGGTGAGTAATTGTTGTAGCACCTGGATGTAGTCTGATGTAATACTACGTTTCTCCATGAGGTGGAGCTCCGTTGCAATGAACAACTTCAGTGTGGCTGCATTTTCTCAGTATTGTGTGGTACAAATATGTTTGCTTGTTTGATAGGACACTATGACAAGTGTGTGTTTGCCCTGCGTGAAGAAAACAAAGGTGACATGGCAAATGTGCTCAACTACATCTTCTCCCATGCCCAAGTTACTAAGAAGAACCTGCTGGTAACAATGCTGATTGTAAGTGTCCGTCGTTTCTTGGATATTTAAGTGTGCGGAATGTGTGTTTCTTTCTTTGTTTGTTTAATCCACCCAAGTGTTATATATTTTGTAAAATTGAATTTCATTTCAATTGCACTGTACGGAGACTCTTTGTATGGATTGGGATTATTATTTATTTATTTTTGTGAGTCTATGAAACCCATAGTATTGCGTATCCCCTCTCTCAGGACCAGTTGTGTGGCCGTGATCCTACACTGACGGAAGAACTGATGGCCATGCTGACTGAATTCACCCAGCTCAGCAAGACAACAAACGCAAAGGTGGCACTTCGTGCACGGCAGGTTGGTTGTTCAGTTCCAAACTTCATGACAATGTACGTCCAGTACAAATGAAACAAATGTAATATGAGAGGACATTCAAGGGTGCTTTGCTTAGTTGTGTCTCTTCTAAGATGCTTAGCAACCACGTTGTTGCATTGGAAAGAAAAAATTCATGACAATAATGAAAGAACTTGGACTGTTAAGAGAACACAATTTGTTTAATTTAATTTTGACGATGATCTGATTCGCATGTGGTGGAATTCTTTTGAATTGTAAATGAGTAAAATACTAACCGCCTCAGTCTCTACTCATTTTTGCAGCACTAAATATATTTGTGAGGGAAAAAAATTTGAATGCTCGTGTGGAAGCCAAATCTCATTTGTATTTTGGAGTATCCGATGCCATAAAAAATGTAGATACGGAAAGGATAGTTAATGTTTTCCAACAAATCAGTCGGGGTGTACTCATTTATGTTGCGCGCTGTATGAACATAGAAAAGACAATGTCTGAAGATAATAAAATTCAATGGGGTATGAAATCATCCATAATTTCATTCTCTGCAGGTGTTGATAGCATCTCACCTCCCCTCTTATGAGCTCCGCCACAACCAGGTGGAGTCCATCTTCCTCTCTGCCATTGATATGTACGGCCACCAATTCTGCATTGAGAATCTCCAGGTAGGCAAGAACAACCAAAAGATGCGATTGACTTCCTCGCGGAGCAAGCCATTTATGACTGTCCATTTGTCTTGAAGAAACTTATCCTTTCCGAGACATCAATCTTTGATGTTTTGCCCAACTTCTTCTACCACAGTAATCAGGTTGTCCGAATGGCCGCCCTTGAGGTGAGATCATCATTTCTCTCGGTTCTCAAGCTACTACGGCCTCATTTATTTTTAACTCGCAGCGCTCACAAATCTACTTATAATTATGTGCTTTCATCTCCTAATAACCGCAGGTTTATGTGCGCCGAGCATACATCGCTTATGAGCTCAACAGCGTGCAGCATCGCCAGTTGAAGGATAACACATGCATAGTAGAGTTCCAGTTCATGCTCCCCTCCTCACACCCAAACAGGTAATCACACATGGCCCTAAGCTAACAGTTATTTCTTAGTTAGCTTTGTCTCGTTCCGAAACATTTTATTTTCCAGTGTTTGTTTCTCCTATCTTGACTGGTAACCATTCTAGGGGATACCCTGACTCTCACCTAAAGTAAGCTAGGATAGACTCCAGCTCATTCGCAACCCTAATGAGGATAAGCAGTATGGAAGATAGATCGATGGATGATTCTTTTTTGTTCATCTTCTTTGATGTTTGAGTTGCTTATCCCAGTTGTGTCCCATCATATAAATACCCCTTGTTTGCAAAGTAAGTATATTTCAAGACCTGACTGATTGGTTGAAAGTGTGTCAAAGCTCTCGCACCTGCAGTACCTTATCTTCACCCGTCTTCCTAGGGGGCACTGTTGCCACAGATAAATGGACACATTTGGAGGATTGTCTTGTGCATGTTCAGCATTTGAACATGCTTGTAGCTCTCAATCATGGCTTTTCTGTTGCATTTGTGATCCCAACGTGTGATTGTGTCCTGGTTGTTTGTGCGAACGAGTATATTCTTGTTTACTTGCTGTTGCTGTGACAAGACCTGTATGCCAGCTTCAACACCGAGAGTTAACAGAAGAATGCTGTCAATATGCCCGTACTAGCCACAATGTTAGTAGGTACACTCGCACGTTTTAATGAGCCCCCTGACCAAAGCGCTATCAAAAATTCTGCTCTTTTAAAAGATGTTTTCGTTATTGTGGATTATGATTTTGGTTGTATGTTTTGCATGGTCGTGTAGATCTGCGCTGCGTTAGCTGTGAGATCGCAGTTGTTCCAAAATATTAAACACTTCTTCTGCAAGCAATACATTAGAGCTACAAGTTCTTAATCTGGATAAAAATATAGTTTCCAATTACCTCTGACAGTGTCCCATCAAAAGTCAGCATGAAAACACTAATTTGCGATTTAAATCTTGCTTGGTTGAGTGGCGTACCTAACAGGTTTCGCAAGGGAACGTGTATACCGCATGTTTATGTGCACGACATGTTTGTTTCATGATTCCGGAGTAACCCATCATGTTTTGCTTATTTCTAAAAACGGCATGAAGTGATCCTGCGCCTTTTGTTGAGAGGAGGAGCACAACCAAACGCAGCCTAAATACCTCTTGATGCATGTTGTCCAGGGAGCAGTCAAGAAGTAAAATGTGTGCTCAACCTTTTGACACCCGGGGTGCATTCATTTCGATATTGACTATATAGTGCATAGTAAGCCCTTGTTGAGATGAACACACTTCTACAACTTGACTGCCTTTCTGTCCTGATGCCTGCCACTAACCCTGTAGTAATCAATGTTATTTGATTGCAGAGGGAACATCCCCACTCTAAACAGGTACTGTAAACATTCTTTCTATTGCATAGACTACACGCATAGGCTAGTTTAGATGCATGGCCAAAGCACAAATTCAAGTTTAGAGTCATGAATTTGTTAATTTAGTAGTTTGGCGCTCTTAAAAATGCAAATAAATACAACGGTGGTATACCTGAACAAGTACTAAGTGCAAGCCTTATTAATTTTATTGATGGCAGCATGGCCCTCAGCTCCTAGCCTTTTTTTTAAAATGCTTTTTAACGTCTCTGTGTGAGTCTTTGTGTTCGTGTGTGTGTGTTGTGGAGATTTTGATGAACATGTACAAATCTTGTGAAATAAATTATTTAATTGTCCTGCTAGGAAAATGTCTGCTCCTGCAGTCCTGGACAATGTAAAAGCCAAAACGGTCTCAATTGTTGAATCTGCAGACAGGTTTGATGCAAAACCTCTCAAATACTCTTCGTGGGTGTAAACTTTGGGTTAATATTTCAGAGGCGCTTACTTGCAGGGTCCTTCTGGTGTTTTTGCATTTTCTTGTTGTGTGAGAATTTTGTGAGTCTGTGCGGAGTGACATGGCAGTCTCAGTCCGCTGTTCCCATGTCTGCCACTCCAACTCTACAAAATTAGCCCTCACGATCTGCGCAACACTCCGATTATGACTTTTATCTGACCCATTGGCTAATGTAGGTCAGAGATCAACTGATCATGTTCCTTTTCAATTTTCTTTGACTTATTTTTGACTTCTGGGGTTTTGGTTTGTCAGAGCAAGAACCCATTTCTGATTCGTATTTAATCTTAAATAGCTGGTTCCAAATGTCACAATTTGTCATGACTCGGTTGTCATAATCGGTTATCAATGATCACTGCATTTCCCCCAGAAATAGTCAGTGATTACTTTATGGGGACACGGGCAATTTTATTGGTCCAGTTTGACTAAGAAGCAGCAATATCCCAGATACACTGTACTGCTGCTTTATTGTACTTAAATGTAACGGCGAAATGTTCTTATTGCCTGCTTTTTATTGTTTGAGCTTCATTCTGTTTAACCATCTTGAAACCAAGGCCCTGGGGTAACAATGCTTTCCAAAACATCAAAAAGCTCGGTGTTCAAATCTCTTATTCTTGGTACTCTCAAAAGGCGGATGGGAAATCGCCTTCTATCACTCCTGATGGAGTGGCTTCTAAATCCAACCGCTTTCACCGCAGGATGTCATTCTCATCAAACCTGAACCACTATGGCATGGTGCACATGGCTAGCGTGAGCGACGTTTTGCTGGACACATCCTTTACGCCGCCCTGTCAGCGAATGGGCGCCATGGTCTCCTTTCGCTCATTCCAGGAGTTCACCAAGTTAGTGTGTACTCTTTTAAATCGCTTTAAACGGCGATGTGAAAATATTTGTGCGCTTAAAGTATGGTTGCCTGTTTTTTCAGGAACATAACAGATGTGTTGAGTTGCTTCAGCGACTCTCCGCCCCCAAGCCCGACCTTCCCCGAGGGTGGGAATCCCGTCCTGTATGGTGAAGAGGACAACAAGGTGGCAAAAGCTTATTGTAGGCTTCTGTAATTATGACGTGCGATGAAACTGAATATGCTGATGTACTTCATTTGTCTTTTTTTTTTTTTTTTTTTGCTCATCCAGAGCACCCAAGAGGAGCCCATCCATATACTGAATGTGGCTATAAAGACCGACAGCGACATGGACGATGATGGCCTGGCAGCCATGTTTCGGGACTTCACCCAATCAAAGGTTGGAAGTCGAACATTCCTCAAGGAGGCTGTTGTTGTTTATACCAAGTACCGGACTAACTCAGAGAGTAATTTATTTATTTTTGAAATAAATCACAGAAATCTCTGCTGTTTGAACACGGAATCCGTCGCTTGACATTCCTTGTGGCTCAGAAGGTATGACTCGTGTTTTGTTCCCGCATACTCTCTCAATTTCCGCATCTGTTTGCATCACGATCTGCCTTGCATGTCACCATTTTAATTGTTATGGCTGCCATTAATGGTTACTTTTGGACCAAAAATATCTTCATGGATATATAAATGACTAATATTGCCTAATGACGTTTGTGCAAAGACTATTTTGTATGTTGTGATAATTTGAGATAATTTGCATTATAATTTCAGCCTTGTCTCTCCTCTATCTCCTTTTGCATGCCTTGCTTTCGCAACATTTATGATGTCAGGATTTCAGGAAGCAAATCAACTGTGAGGTGGACCAAAGGTTTCACGTAAGTATAAGCAAAGGGGAAGGAGGGCAGCAAGACTAATGAAATAAAAAAATATTACAAAAAGTATGTTTCCTTTGAAAAAAAAAAAAAAAACAGAGGTTGAGGCTGTGTGTACCGGACACTCTGTAGCCACAACACTGAGTAAATCCGAACAATCTCAATCAATGTAATTTGATTGATGGTGGTTCCTCTCGATGATTCAGTACATTTTTACACTATTGCAACCGACAATAACAATGAGAGGCAAAATCACAGTGCAGTGTCAGCGTTAAATTTTTCTTCGTAAAGGCAAGTACAACTCCTGTATTCAATCATTTTAGAATTTACAGGCGATCCTAATGAGGTGTCCACAGAATCCTACCATTCATACCTGCAAGTGTTAGGACGGTTGTATAATGCATACAAACATCAATAGTATTGCGATGAAAGCAATAAGGAGGGTATTGTGAGAAGTGATCATGTGACTGTTTTGACAATCGGCTTTGATTTTTTTTTTTTTCTTCTTTTCATGGGCCCATTTGCTTCTGAGAACCAATCCCACTCAGTGGTGTCAGTGCCATTATGAGGCCCCCCCATTAAATGGAGCGGATATTTTAGCACTCCACCTCCAAAAAAAAAAAAATGTTTTCCCTCCATTTAGAATATTCTCGACAGAATGTTTAATCACTGTCAAATTGTGTCCGCGGAGCTTGCAGTGTGTGTGCAATTTGGTAGCCTGCAGTTATCAACGCGGCATGTGAGGTGAGCAAAGCATCTCCAATCTGGCTGGCATTGTTGTGGAACACTTCATCTGATATCATTCAACGGGGCAAGCGGCCATTTAGAGGATCAAGAGTCTCTGAAAGAGTGACATGTTTTATTCATTCACAAAGGGAATGTATACCTTTTCTACACAGACCATTCTTATGTCGACTTGCCATCAGAATAAATTCAGTCCGAGACATATCAGCTCCAAATAACTTGCCTTGGCTTGTTGTGATTACATTTATAGGTAGCGCATACTGAAATACTGTTTTTTTTAATTTTTTATTTTGAGATGTGTGTTTTATTCATTTGCTTTATCTTCTATTTCCCCACACAGAGAGAATTCCCCAAATTTTTCACATTCCGCGCCAGAGATAAGGTAGGTGTGTCTACGACAAACCATGAAAGTTTTCTGCTTTCAAACAACGGTAATGGTAAAGCTAAAGTTGCAACAAGGGGGTGCTTAAGGACACTTTGGAATTAGGGATCAGACAACCTATTTCACCGGTTTAGCACCAGCTCTTTACATTACGGTGCCTATATTTTGGATTGATTGTTGTAACAACTTTTTTTTTTTTTTTTACCCGAGGCCACACTGGATTTCTTCCAGTGTAGACATTTGATGGCTCCTTCTCTTTCTTACCACTGGTAGTTTGACTACAATGACACCAGCAAAACTCATTAAAGTAATGAACTCTTTAATTATGTCTCCCATTTAAGAGAAATGACACCCATTAGCGGCTCTCTGAGAATGAGATTGCCCACGATTTCATTTACTTAATACTGCGTGTAGCTCTTGGGCATCTTTCTACTTTTATTGAGAGCCGGTGTTCTTCAAACTGCCATTGATATAATCTTGGTTAATAGCAGTATTGCCTTGTACTCGCCTTGTGAAGAAAAAAAAAAGGTGGAATATTCTTCAAGAGTGTGTGTGTGTGTCACTGTGTTGCATTGTTTGTTACGATGTTGTGCCATTTTCTCAACAGTTTGTGGAAGATAGGATCTACCGCCACTTGGAGCCGGCTTTAGCTTTCCAGCTGGAGCTCAACCGCATGCGAAATTTTGCCCTGACAGCAATTCCCTGTGCCAACCACAAGATGCACCTCTATCTGGGTGCAGCGCGCGTAGAAGTCGGGGCAGAAGTTACGGACTACCGGTTCTTTGTGCGAGCCATTATCCGCCATTCTGATTTAGTCACAAAAGTAAGACAGTGAATATGTATGCTCGATCAGCTCCATCATACCTACTCCTCACTGATAATTGATTTTTCTTTTTTTTTTTCTGTCCCTTCACCAGGAGGCCTCATTTGAATACCTTCACAATGAGGCCGAGCGTTTGCTTCTTGAGGCCATGGATGAGCTCGAGGTTGCTTTCAACAACACAACCGTGCGCACCGACTGTAACCACATCTTCCTCAATTTTGTCCCCACCGTCATCATGGACCCGTCAAAGGTAAAAGTGTGTCAGACCATTCTAAAACGAACCACAGCTTCTCTTTGTGATTCACATCAACTTGGAACTAATTTGCCTCCGTGAACAGATCGAGGAGTCCGTGCGTTCCATGGTGATGCGTTACGGCAGCCGGCTTTGGAAACTGCGTGTCCTGCAAGCTGAACTGAAAATTAACATCCGCCTGACTCCGACGGGAAAGCAAATCCCCATTCGCTTGTTTCTCACAAATGAATCCGGCTACTACCTGGACATCAGCCTCTACAAAGAAGTCACCGACTCCCAAACGGGACAGGTGGGGCCCAAAGACCGCCAGGTGGGGCACTCATACATTTTTCCATGTCATCCGCTTGTCAGCTTATTTCAGGAAAAGTGCTTCTGTTCCATCATGGATCCCTCATCCTAGATCCTGCATGGTGCTCAGCCCTTTGCCTTGTTGACAATTCTTTTCTTAGTAATGTACAGGTACATCTAAAAAAAAAAAACATAGAATATATGAATAAGTGTTAAAATTTTTGTCACTCATTTCAAAAAGGGAGTAAAAATCGACACACAGAATGAAATATTTATAGCCTTTATTTCTTGATGTTGACGATCATGGTATTCAGTTAGTGTAAAACCAAATTTCAGTGCTTTGAAAATTTGAATATTGTGAAAAAGGTCAAGATTAGAACACAAATCACTTTCAAAGGCTTCCTGATCCTTGAAATGGTCTCTGTTTGGGTTATGCTACGTCATGGCCAGACTAATCTTTATAATACGCTATATGGGTTTCCCTGTTAGAAATGAACAAGCAAAATTTTAAACTCTTTCATGATGTTCTAATTTTTTGAGATGCCTGCGTCTTCATCAGCTGATCGGCTATGTTATACTTTGTGCCTCTAGCCGTCATTGCACCATTTTATCGTCACCCTCTTCTCGTTACGTTGCATGTAATGTGAACGTTTTGTATTTTGTTATTGGTTTTTGTCAAACAAAATGCAGTATTTTGTTTCTTGTTCTCCTTTGTTTTCCTCCCATTTGATGCTCAGAGGTGGCCAGTTTAGTTTTCATGAGATTTTGTGACACTGTTTGAACTATCAATGGAGCCTATGCCAAACACGCAAGCACAGGGGAGCACACATGAACATCGTACAGAAAGACCCCAACCAAGTTTTAATTCCAAAACTTGTGAATGTGAGACAGACGTGCTAACTACATGCACAACCGTACTACCACCAGTCAGTAATTGGATCTCAGTGGAATGGCTGTCACAGGCTCGAGAGAAAAACATTTTTCTTCGGGGGACGGCATGGAACTTTTTATTTGAACGTGAGCGCAAGATATCGTTCCATCACATGATCTGGCTGCTGTGGTTCATTGTCATCCAGTCCTCATTCTCATCAAATCAGTCACCTAATGCCCAGGTAGTTAGAAAGGCTGCTGTATTTTTAATTACATCCCCTCCTTATTTGTGCAGATAATGTTCCAGGCGTATGGAGACAAGCAAGGTCCTTTGCACGGCATGCTCATCAACACACCCTATGTCACCAAGGACTTGCTGCAGTCAAAGCGTTTTCAAGCCCAATCATTGGGCACCACCTACGTCTATGATTTTCCAGAAATGTTTCGACAGGTACATTACGAACCTGGCTTTGCTGTCCTGTATTTCTGTTCAACAAACATAAATTCATTATGACGCCAGACTGGTTATTGTTGATTGATTGCTTTTGAATCAATGACTTATACCTGACAAACTGTTACACCTCTTTATCCAGGCTCTGAAAAAGCTGTGGCACTCAACCCAAGCTCATGCATTTGTACCCAAATGCCCACTTCCCTCTGAGTTGCTGACCTTCACCGAGCTGGTGTTGGATGCCCAAGGTCAACTGGTGCAGATGAACCGACTGCCAGGTGGCAATGAGGTCTGTTGTTGTGCGTGAATAAATACACGTATAAAAGTAATCGTCAAACTTGTGAGGTAATTTGTCACTATACAGCATTCTCTGTTATCCTTGCAGTACCACTACGTTAAATCTTAACTTTGTTTTTTTTTTTTGGTTGGTTTTTTTCAAGGTGTAGATTTTAAAAGTAGTAAAAATAATTTTTTGTAATCACATTGTTGCGTAGTATTTAATTCGGTGTGTGTGTGTATTTTATTTTTTCATTTACTCTAGATCGGTATGGTGGCATGGCGAATGACCCTCCGCTCACCAGAATATCCAACAGGGCGTGAGATCATCGTCATCAGTAATGACATCACACACAAGATCGGCTCCTTCGGACCTCAGGAGGACGTGCTGTTTCTGCGTGCCTCCGAAATGGCACGAGAGGGTGGGATCCCTCGTCTCTACATTGCGGCCAACAGCGGCGCCCGCATTGGCCTGGCTGAGGAAATCCGTCACATGTTCCACGTGGCCTGGCAAGATCCAGCTGACCCGTACAAGGTCAGTTAAATAACATTAGTGTCCTCGCTCCATTTTTTTAGGGCGCATTTTTGATCAAAATCTAATCCGCCCTTTCGGTTCAGATGTTGCCGTTATCACTGTCATACAATAACGGAGCTGTTCACCGTATTGCCTCTACAGGGTTTCAAGTATCTATACCTCACACCTCAGGATTATAAGAAAGTCTCAGCCCTGAACTCTGTACACTGCGACCATGTGGAGGACGAGGGAGAATCCAGGTACATCTCTAGATTTCATGTTTGGATACCTCATGTTGTTGGGAAAGGATTATGGAAACTGTTCTTCGATAACCAAGTATGCATTGCGACTAAGATAAAGGCAATAGTAGAAGGCGAGACTGTTGGCCGGTCAACTCTGAAAAGATGTGAACTACATTATTTGCTGTCACGCAGGTACAAGATCACTGACATCATTGGAAAGGACGAGGGGCTGGGCGTGGAGAATCTGAAAGGGTCTGGCATGATTGCTGGAGAATCCTCTGTGGCTTATGAGGAGATCATCACCATGAACCTGGTAAGAGCATGTGCGCGCAAAACACAAATAGCTTTGAGCTGTCAACTTGGTGTCAAGAAGCCTTAACATTAATTGTCTTGTTTAAAAGGTAACGTGCCGAGCCATTGGAATCGGAGCCTATCTTGTGAGACTTGGTCAAAGAACCATTCAGGTGGACAACTCGCACATAATCCTTACTGGGGCTGGAGCACTCAACAAGGTACAACAATAGCATCGTCTAAAACATGTTGCAATATGAGTAGCAATAAGTTTAATAGCATGTTCACTATTATGTATCTATCGTCGACCCCTGCATAGTTGCGGTTCGGCACCTGTGGATTTGCATATTTGCAGATGGGTTTTTTTCCCCATTATTTTTCACTATTTTAATTGATTGTTTTTTTTTTTCCTCCACGTATCACAGAATATTTATGCTGTAAAGAATGTTACTATACACTACAGTAGATGCGGTATGTGAGATTTTTAGTGCTTTTTTTCCCATCGATGCCACTTTCTAATTTGCTCGGTTCCACAAGGATACCCTCACAATCCCAGACCACCCACCTTCATTGTTAAATAATTGAAGGCGAACCATGAAGTGATATTTGCTTTGCTGGAGGCTGCAATGCGGGACATCCGCATTCTTTGTTTTCCATTAAAATTAATGTTTTGCTGAGACAGGTTTTCTGCTTGCTGTTGATTGGTGTGAGTGCTCGTGTTTGAGCCTGCACGCTGTACTACACATCTTATTTTTCCTATTTTCCCCTCCCATTCACTCTCCCTGTCAATGTAATAAGATGTCTCCATTTCAAATTAATTGACAGGCTGCAGCATGAGAAATCATGCAAATGGCAGGTTGATGGCACACCTATTTGCTGAAGCCTCTGTTGTTTTTCCAACGACTACACTGTTTAGCTGTTTATGAAGAGACGGGTTGTTATTGAAGTGTCCGCATCACGGGCTAATAGCCCAAAACTCTTGGCTAAAGTAGATGTGATTGTAGTTTTGGTTGGGAAGATTGTGAGCAAGATTCCTCTTTCTCTTTTTCTCCCCCCCGCCCCCCATTCTTCATGCGACTTCCTGGCTATTAACTGAAACTTAATTGAGAGCAGGAGGCTGCCACCCCAAGATCATCATTTAATTAGCCTCTAGAAAGCTTCCATATTTTCATGGGCTTTGGATAGTAACTACTAGCACAAATACCCCAATGAGCTGTTCCATCGACTTGGCCTCTCTTTTCGCTCTCCTGGCGAGCTCCCTCCTTTCCTTCTCCTCCATCCCCTTGCCGTCTCTGCGCAGCGGAATCTTAATGAAGCCGAGATGGCCGGAGGCTCAGAGGCTTTGTGTGTGTCAAGGTGACTGCAATGTTTCTTGGGGCCGCAAGCTTTCCTGACAGCTTTAGGGGAGCGCCCTAGATTTGTAGCCAGATACATAACCATTAATGGTAATAAAGAAAGTAAATGATGGCTGAAAAGGTGAAAGCCGAGGCTAGGGTGTGAGGTCCTCTGATTTTTACTCAGCCATGTCAGGGCCCTGCCACCTGTTCTGCCTGCTTATGAAAATAGGGCGTTCTGAGGTTAAGACTTTATGGCTTGAGGTTGGTTCAGGGTCACTTTGCCGGGTAAAAGTAGTTTGGTTGATTCTTTTCATTGCACCGTCCGTGGCAAATTATTGCTTTTTTTTGTGCGTTCTTTCTGCGGCACATCCAACATGTTTGTCAAGTCTTTCTTAATTGGTTTGTGCATATAGTCTACCCAGAGCTCAAGGTATTTGTATATTGTACAATAGTGATGTCATCTAGTGTCTACATTTTTGGATGACTAAGAGCACAGTGATGTGTTTGCGTGCAAGCTTATTTATCTGAAGCTCCCCAGCCCGATTATGATAATAGCCACCTCCCATCCAAATCCTCCATCATAACTTAGCCTTCTCTCGGTTTCTTCTACTCAAGAAGGCCTTATGTTGTAGTTTCCAAAGGCAAAGCCAAAGAAGTATCGCTTGCACTTCATGTTTGTGTTGTGCCTGTCCGTCTGTCCTATGCCAGGTGCTAGGCAGAGAGGTTTATACATCAAATAACCAGCTCGGTGGAATCCAAATCATGCACAACAATGGTGTGACCCACAGCACTGTTTGTGATGACTTTGAGGGAGTCTTTACTCTCCTGCAGTGGCTCTCTTACATGCCCAAGGTAGGATGTAAATATCGCTACATTAAGTTTATTTCGAGCATGTGACAAATGAAATCAAAGAATGTATGTATAATATGTATGGATGGATGTATTTATTTTATTTATTTTACAGTGCAAATTTAGCCCGGTGCCCATTCTGAGTGCCAAGGACCCCATCGATAGGAATGTTGAATTTGTGCCAACAAAGGCACCCTATGATCCCCGTTGGATGTTAGCTGGTCGTCCAAGCCAGAGTGAGTGCCCTTTGATGTTTAGGTCTTTTTTTTGTTTGTTTTTGTGGCCATATGATTGTGTTTTTCAGCTAATATTTATTGGCCATTATTTCAAATGGATGGATGTTCTTATCATGCAGCAAGCATTTCATCGATACGTTTTAATGCTTTATATCGTTTGCAGTCCATGTTTGCAGTCTTATTTTTTTCAGGTAGGATAAGTGTTCTGGATACAGGCCTTGATAATGATTTCTTTTTTTTTTTTTTTTACCGAAAATAAATATAAAGATTTATCATGTCCAGCAAATGTGCCATGAGTTCGAAGTTGCAATTACTCATTTCAAGAGAGCCTGTGGGTAGCTACTAAGAGAGAAACAGTTAGGTCTGCTATCATGCTCCAAGAGACAAGATCAAGATAGGACCAAAATGGATGTGGCCGTGTTTCCCTACTGCAAGCTAGGACGGTGCAGGTCCTGTAACAGTGTAATTATAGCTTGAGACCACAGAGATGGTGGCGGATTGTGCAGAAGGAGGCACACGTCGGCGGTAGGGATGAACGGCAAGTCTTAATTGAACAGTAACCTCATAGTGTATATGGCATGTTTCTGGGGTTTAGCAAGCAGAAAAACAGCTTCGCAAGCCTTTGTATCCAATCATCCATCATGTTTCCTGCCAGGATTACTGATCGAGTGAAAACACACGCAGCCTCCCATTACATGAAGAAGAATCTTTTTGAAATGTAACGAAGAAAAGAGAATTTTATAAAAAGTGATTCATGTTTGAAATTTGCTACAAATGACTCGCTATGTTTCTTTCAATCTCTGGAAAAAAAATAAAGCAACACAATTTCAATCTATGTATATGAAGGTCCAAAAGGCTCTTCTTGGCAGAGCGGCTTCTTTGACCACGGCTCCTTCATGGAGATGATGCAGCCATGGGCTCAGAGCGTGGTGGTCGGCAGAGCTCGGTAAGCCCCAATAAATACAAAACCAAACATGAGAATTGATTTCTTACGTTGTAGTTAAATTCCCTCACTGCCGGCGCGGTAGATGTCAGTGCTCAATGCTGTATTTCCGCAGATTGGGTGGGATACCAACTGGAGTGGTTGCTGTGGAAACTAGGTCAGTGGAGCTGTCAATCCCAGCTGATCCAGCTAATTTGGACTCAGAGGCCAAGGTGAGGCAGGTCATTCGCTGCACATACTCAAGTACTGCATGAGCTAAGTGTTTCGTTGTCTATAAAATGAAGTGATTGTGACGCCGCGTTGTGTCTGTTTAGATCATCCAGCAGGCTGGACAAGTGTGGTTCCCCGATTCAGCTTTCAAAACAGCCCAAGCTATAAAGGACCTGAACCGAGAGGGGCTGCCTCTCTTTGTATTTGCCAACTGGAGGGGCTTTTCCGGAGGAATGAAAGGTGTCCAACAATTTAATAACACCCAGGGATTGTGTGGATGCTGAGAAAGACAAGTGGCCATAATGTTACGGGTCCCAATTTTTCCTTTTTTTTTTTTTTCGAGTAACTTGCAACCCTTCAGACCTATGATATAAATCTTGCTGATATGTTCCAACTTGCAGTATACGCCACCATTTCATGTTGCCGACTTCAGCAATCAAACTTACCGTATTGGCCCGAATATAAGACGGCCCTGATTATAAGACAACCCCCTCTTTTTCAAGACTCAAGTTTGAAAAAAGACTTTTTGGACACCAAATAAATTTTTATACAGAAAATAATTACAGTACATCTGAAACAAATGATTATAACACTATATTTGAGAGAAAAAGCATGTTATTTCGCCTCATTCAAATCTAAAGTAAAATCACATTCGTAAATGAATGGCTTCTGGTTTTTGAAATGTAAATTCCATGATAACTTCTCCTCAGCTGCCGGTTAACCTGGCCGACCTTCGACCCACTTTTCTCCAGATTGTCACTACGTTTCTCCATTTTCTGTTATCTCTTCGATTATTTTCTTCTCTTTTCTTTCTTACCGCTATTTTTTATTTTTCTTCTTCGTGCTACCGTTATTTAAATTTTTATTCTTCGTAGCAGGGGTTCATTTTGGCCTGGGGGGTCAAGTTCAGCATTCGCTTCAATGATTTCTGGCGCCATCTAGCGTCGTGAATGGGTATAATGTCTAGACCCCGAATATAAGACGACCCCCACTTTTTCAGTCTTATTTCAATGCAAAAAACATCGTCTTATATTCGGGCTAATACGGTAATATCGAAGTCAAGTCAAATGTATAATTTTCTAATATGGATTTCATTTTGAAATACATCTCTTTTTTTTTTAAAGACATGTACGACCAGGTGTTGAAGTTCGGTGCCTATATTGTGGACGGGCTCCGGGAGTACAAGCAGCCCGTCCTGGTTTACATTCCACCCCAGGCCGAGCTGCGTGGAGGTTCCTGGGTGGTTATAGATCCCACCATCAACCCTCGTCACATGGAGATGTACGCCGACAAGGACAGCCGGTAAGTTGGTTCGAAACGAGGAGATATTCATGTCTACGTTCATTTTTTTAGTCCACCGAAACTTATTCATGTGCTCAGAGGTGGCCCACCATCAACCCTCGTCACATGGAGATGTACGCCGACAAGGACAGCCGGTAAGTTGCTTCGAAATGAGGAGGTATTCATGTCTGCGTTCATTTTTTTAGTCCAACGAAACTTATTCATGTGCTCAGAGGTGGAGTGCTGGAGCCTGAGGGGACAGTGGAGATCAAGTTTAGGAGGAAGGACCTGGTGAAGACGATGAGACGAGTCGATCCCATCTACACGAGCTTGGCCGAAAGACTGGGTCAGTCATCATCTTCCGTTCCAATTACATTTCTTTATTGGTCACAGCCTACTTCATTTGTAGTCCTTCTCCCTCCCATTCCCTGTCAGTAAGGAGCAGGGGACGGAGGGCGGGGGGGCCGTCTACCTTCACCCTTCTTTATCTGTGGATAGTATCATCTTTGCCACGCTCCCCTGAGAAACGTGTCAATCACAGCTGGCTAGGATCAATTGTCAGCTCTCCCGCCTCCCCGGTGCAGCTTATCGATCTACCTCACAGCTCGCAGAAACTGTGATCCAATGCTGCGTGCGTTTGCCGCTTTGGGAAAACTGGCGCGGTGTTATTGAGGAGAGTTTGAGAGGAACAGATTGGCATTGACAGAAATCAGTATGCAGCTAGAAAGCTTTGATAGGAAAGCTAAATAAAATGCCGCTAGTCTGACGAAAGTCACTGCTACATTTTGCATCTTTTGAGGTTATTTTAGGTTTTGGTCATTATTTGTCTCATCCGCTTCAATTTTTCATTGTCTTATATTGCCCATCTGAAAGCAGCAGCTATTTATGAAACAATTTTTACGGTGATGACTATTTTGCCAGCAATTTTGCTGACGCGCAATGTAAAAAGTGCATTAAAACTCTTTGCTCTCCCCAAAAGGAACCCCAGAGTTAAGCCCTCCTGACCGCAAAGAGCTGGAGACAAAACTAAAAGAGCGGGAAGAGTTTCTGTTGCCGATCTACCACCAGGTGGCTGTTCAGTTTGCAGACCTCCACGACACTCCGGGCCGCATGCAGGAGAAGGGCGTCATTACGGTGGGTGCTTTTCCTTCAAACAAACCCATGTCTACCCGACCGGCTGCGTCTGCCTTCATCGCCAGGCTGCGACGTATATTGTGATGATGCAAGTGTGAGTCGCTTCGGGAAGCACAAATCGGATTTGGACAATCTTGCACTTTTCCTTTTGTTGTTCTTATTTCGTCTCAAGAACATACGCACTCTTGGCAGAACTTCTGGAGTGGTGTGGGCACCGTGTGGAATGTAGCTCCAGTCATGGAGAACCGCCTCAGAGAATTTTATGTGATAATTTCAGTGAAACAGTTTTTAATGTTAGTTGGGCTGTCCTTGTTTTTTTTTGTTTCATCAAATATCGCGTTCATTTTGACGACATGGTTCGTGACACTTCAAGTCAACATGATGGAAATTAACAAGGTGTTTTGTTCTTTTTCCTCTTGTCAGGACATCCTGGAGTGGCAAACATCCCGACAGTTCTTCTACTGGCGCCTCCGCCGCCTCCTCCTGGAAGAGACAGTCAAGAGAAAGATCCAAGCAGCCAACAGCGAGCTGACAGACGGACAAGTGCAGGCAATGCTGCGCCGCTGGTTTGTTGAGGCAGAAGGCGCTGTCAAGGTAACACATCCACGCACATTTTTACCGTGGATTTTTTTTCGATGTCAAATAGAACGGGAGATCAGATTTGAAAGGACAAACACATGATCAAGCACTCACTTTTTCACGTTACTACTGGGGTAAAGTTTCTAATCAGAATTATCCAGCCAGCAAATTAAACTTTTTTTTGTTTTGTTTCCATCGAAAGAACACAAGGTATAAAAGGGTGCCATCATGTTCACCAATCAGCCCCTTTATATCTTCATTTTTGAATATCATTTCGAAACGGTTTACTTTTGCGCTGTTATCATTCATTTCACCCATCGAGTGGAACTCGGAAGATATCAGGTTTATAGTTATTCATTTGCTGCTGGTCGAATTAATGTCATTTTTTTGTGACCTTATAGATTTCATTTTCATGTAAAAACAAACACTTTAATTTCACCTGCTCAAGTGAACGCTGACTGTTTTGTTAAACAACTTTTTTTGTGTTCGTTTTTCGCGTCGATAATATTGGGTTGTCGACAAACCGCGCATTTTTAGTTACTCGATGTCAATTCCCTTGATTAAAGATGTCCACATTAAATGCTTTGCTCACAAAATAGTGATTAAACATAGCGTGAAATAACGATACATAACCACAGTTCCTTCAGGCCCAATCTCAGCCTCGGAGGACCAGCGGGCAGGAGCTGTCAGGAGCCACGTTTCCCCGCAAAGTGGCCCTCTTGTCTGCGAGGACGCTAACCCCATCAGAACTCACTGTCTTAAGCCACAATTAATCACAGCCCTGGCACGTGCTGATAGGAGAGCAACACGCTGTCTCTTAATTAAAAGCAAACAGATTAAAAATGATTAATAAGGGCATTAAATGTTCTTGCGGACCTCAAGCAGGGCTATTCATATAAAGGCAAGGGCCTATTAAACCCCTCCACCCTCAAATCTTTAAGCCCCTCCAGCCTGGCTTTGTTTGGGATCAGAGATGCCGGCACTCATGAATACTAATATTCCTATCAGGCCCAAATCAACAAGACATCATGCGTCCACTTTGAGGTCTGCTTCTTTTGTTTGTGTTGACCGTGATTTGTGCACACTCAACCGGGACCTTTTTTTTTGGGGGGGGGGGGGTGTAAACTTTATATTTAGTCATAATTACCAACATGACAATAACATCATGCAGGCCTATCTGTGGGACAACAACGAGGAGGTGGTGGGATGGCTCGAGAGGCAGCTGGCCGAAGACGAGGGAGCGAGGTCCGTCATCGATGAGAACATCAAGTACATTCGCCGTGATCACATCCTCAAGCAGATTCGCAGGTGATCCTCAGGAGCAACAGAGTTTCACTTAGGGCTAACCGATCGGGACTTCTATTATTCCACTTTTTTTTTTCTTCACAATCCTCTTCCCCGTCCCCCCTTGGTTGTAGAAAATGCAAACATAGGTGACATTAATTATTCAAATCAAGTTTGGCTTTCATTCCCCCTTTTTAGATTTGCTTTTATTGTATTGGCATCAAATAAGAATTTTCAAGAGGTTGTTTTTTTTTTCGCTATAATTTGCATCAACTTCTCCAGAAATCAGGGAAATTTGTATTTTTTTTCTTTTCAGAGAACCACATATATAAATGATTCTGAATAAAATAACGTTTTAAATGTTCAGTCTTGGTCAAATAGTGCAACTTGGATACACCTACCTCTGGTCAAATGTTTCCAACAATCTGTTAAATCACTGCTTTTGCCACATATAAATGGGCAACGTCACGGTAATTGACTCTGACATTGCCTTCAACAATGTCAAACCACTTTGGCTCATGGCAGGAATTCGACTCACGCGTCACTTTTTTTGAGAGTTTGAGAGCTCAAGGGTCCAGAAAATGTGCTAAATATAGCAACCAAATCAATAAGTCGGCATAGCTGACTAGCTTCTATCCTCTGTGTTCTCGTAGCCATGTTGTTAGCAGCAATGGGGGGAAATAAAATCATCCTGACCAATACGTGACATTTTTTTGTTTTTTGTTTTTGTCTTATGCTTCCAGCTTCGTTCAAGCTAACCCAGAGGTGGCAATGGATTCCATCGTGCACATGACCCAGCACATCTCACCGACACAGAGAGCTGAGGTGGTGCGTATATTGTCCACTATGGAGACCTCAACCTCCTCCTAGCGCTGAGTCCACAGCCGTCTAGCTCGGGGTCTGGGCTGCCAAGCAACGTTCGGAGGAGCCAACGTGAGCGCCCCTTGGCAGCCGCCAGGGAACCAATGAATCGTTGGTAATGATTCTCAACAATGTGATATTTTGTAAGTTGTCTTAACAACCAATTTGGATAAAAGTGCATATGTTGCATTCAAGTTCAATTGGCTAATTATATTTGATGACCAATTGGATCTGGTGTGGGGTTTGAACTAACCAACTGGAATGTTGTCATATTCCAATGCATCATGCTTTCGGACAACGTAGTCATAGTTAAATATTTGGAGGACAATGCCAACAGCTTTGGCGAGAAAGTGTCTTTTAAACTACCAACGAGGGCGCACTTAGTTACTGAGCAGAAAAATAGCAAGAACGTTATAACCCATTTGGACAGAAGAGCACAGCGGGGAGCAAAAGGAGCCCTTTTAGCCGCTGACTGCTTCCCAGTTCTCCTGCGGTGAACACAAAACTACAGCTGTCCCTTCTGTTCCCACTTCACGCTGCTCCACATGCACTTTATGCCGCTTCGCTGTTCACGTTGCATACCGAATCAAACATGCCCTCGCTGAAAATGTGGCATCCATGTCATCACGCTCACTGTTACACACACATGCGGTGAACACGTAGAAATTGAATGGGAAATGCTAATGGTACTACACGCAGAGATGATAACGGCATTTTTTTTTTCTTTTCTCAACATTTATTTTGTCTCATGTATCTTGTTAGTCTTCAAAACAATCACTGAAAATAGCATTGTGGTTATAGATTTGTTTTTACAATAGGACATATTTGGAATACATGATGAGATCACCTCTGTTCAATGATTCATGTCACGTAAGCAAATGTCTCACTGTAGTTCGCGTTGATTCTGTTTATTAATATTTTGTACTAAATGTCGCTAATTTTTCGTAACAGGTTATTCTCAGTTGCAAATTTCCCTGCTTGATTTTGGTTTGGGAAAAAAAAAGTTACTTTGTGACAAGTGTATGACAGAGGTACTGTACAGACAGTATGTTTAATGCTAAACTGCACTGTAAATGTTGAACTCAGTCCTTGACATCACTGCCTCATTATGTTCGCTTTACAATGTGAAAACGGCTTTGTGCTCAGTGCTGTGCCTTTATTTTTTTTTCTTGACCTGGACTGACTTGCCAGCCAGTTTTGCTTTTTAACGCACAGGTTGTAACCTTGAAATAATGGTGAAATAAAGGCGTGTCGGCAATCGAAAATAAAGCGTAGCCACGTGAAATTGTTTCTGTCATGTCTTGAACAAAGGTCTGAAAATGTGTTTTTTTTTTTTTTGTTTTTTTTTAAACATATAGCGGTATATACTTTGTATATACATGATGATCTCCAGCACAGATACTTGCATCAATTGAAAGCATAGTTAAAATGGAGCAGTCGGAACAGCGACTATGACACCATGGAGACATTTTCTGATTGTTCGAAAATGATACTCTTCACATTCCTTAACCCAAAGACGATTAAAGTGTCTTTTTTTTTTTTTCTTCACACCCTTGCCTTTTAAACTTCAACAGTCTTAAGGAGGATGAAACGGATCAAACAAATACTGTGGGAGCTATCTCATCCTTTTATTTATTTAATTTGGTCTTATTTCGTTTGTATCATCCCCTCGGCTCTGTCAACTTTGTTATCGTCCCACCAACAAATATGTAAGACAAATTGAGTTGCATGTGCCCAATACCCACAACAATTACGAGCGGTCCGAAAAGAAAGAAGTCATTTGGTGCTATAATTGGAAATGTGTGTTGCGTGTTCCCCCCCTTGTCTCCCACAGGGTTTTGCTCATTTGTGATGGCGTGCGCGGCGGGATAATTCTTTTGATCAGTGACAAAATGCAGATTCGTTTTCTTTCTCAGACACCGGAGTAGAGCAAACGGCATTGTTTGGGGGAACTTGCACAGTACTAAATATTTTCTTTTTCGAAATGTAATATAAAAGCCGCCGTGGTTGTTTAAAAATACCAAAACAGATCCAACTGGTTGTTTTTCTACAGCCAGAAATATAATTTTGTTTGAAACTCTAGTGGTTAACACGTCTGCTTCACACTTCAGGCGTACTGCATACAAATCCAGGCTCAGGCCCTCCTTTGTGGAGGTTGCAGGTTCTTCTTCTGGGTTTTCTCTGGCCACTCCCATATTCCAAAATCATTCACGTTAGGTTCAGTGAAGATTCGAAATTGCCCAAACATGAATGATAATAGTTTGTTTTATATATACCTTGTGATTGCCCACCCCAAGGTCAATTCAATTTTTCACCCAGCGAGCTCACTTCCGACCTAACCGCATAAGAAAATAAATGGATGTTTAAAACGATGCTTTCATGGGGAAAATGGGCACGAAGCTTCGAAATCGCAATCCACTAAGAAACGGTGTCGAAAATGTCAAAGAAAGGAATGGAAAGTGCCCGTTAATATGTTTAACATACATCACAGCAATTACAATGCAAATGTGTATTCTTTACGTGGTTTTATTTTGCCTTCAACAATGTCATCCTTGGCTCCTCTTCCCATGAAAGTCCACTTTGTCTCAAACGACTGATGGTGGGATCTGACACTGATGTGCGTTGACCTTGGGAATTTACAGTATCGTTATCAGGCTTTTTGACAGAGCTTACTGATGAGCTGTTCATTTGAATCAGATTTCCTGGAAAAAGGAAAACCTCTCAAATGAGAAGATATGTGGCTCTCTCGGACCGGAGTCGCCTTCTCGCTGGTTGGAGATGATCTGAAAGCTTTTACCTTTAGCATGCTTGCCCATAATTTTCTTTCGAATCAACTGAGACATCTCTCTCCTTTGCTCTCTGTGGTCCATGTTTAGTGTGATACATGATGTCACCAATATTATATCACATCGACTATCTGTTACCCTAGAAAGAGGCACACTGATGCTAATTAGAGGACACACCTTGTCGTATGGTCGAACCATTTTTTTGTCGGAGTATCAATTTTTGTCCAGGCCTGCATTGTTGTTTTCTCTTGTTTGTTTATTTTTAATGCTTCTGTTTAACCACCAAATGCTATGTCTGAATGTCATAATTATCGGTAATTTTCAGTAAATGTGTCAGTTTTAAGTAATTGAAGAGGTCATTGCGCCTTTTTCATTCATTATCGAAAGGAACCATCAATTTTAGTGTCAAATAACCCACAGACACCCAAACTCCACAATCGCGGAATCTGCGGCGTGACTATCCGCTGTGTTGACCATACACGTCAGACATCCTGGATCTCGTTAGCCTAATTAGCTTTTAGCCCTCGTGTTCTACCAAGCTGTTGTTCATCTTTTTGATTGGCCTGAGTCTATTTACTGGTAGGTCACCGCTGTTTTTGTTGTCCATTTGTGGTTGTTTGTGTTTTTAATGTGTCAGTTCCTGGAAAAGTTTTTGTTGCTCTGATAGAAACCTGCACTAGAAAATCTTTGCAAAAAACAGTGTTGCTGTTGCCTCAGTCAAAATAATTGAGACAGTTGTTGTGAGAAAGATTCTAGCACCCTTGCTACATGACGTATACGTATGCTGTATGTATTTTGTTTCGTACGATTTGATGTTTTTCCAGCAGGGACTGTTGGGGGGGAAAGTAAGGGGGGGAACTTTTGGGGGGGAAAAAAAAAGATGCCTGCAATGAGATTGAAATGGAGGAATTAAGATAACTCAGTGGGGAGACTCAATCATGCATCTGGGGAGAACCATAATTCCACATTCATGTGTCTCAATGGCTTGACAGCACTTGAGAGACAATGCATCTGACCCAGTTGCAGGATTCCAATTAGCCGGCTGTATGCAACAGTTGAGATGAAACGCGAACGAGGTCTTTACAGAGCCCCTGGGCTGTCTGATTACTGCCTGAAAACAAAAAAGTCTTTTGCCCATGATAAAGACTCGACTGACACACGGGGAGTGCGAGGCCCCAGCTGTTCTCCGTCTCTCTCCAGGCTCAGGGTTTCGAAAGAAAAGCTCCTCTATGCTTGCCCGCCTGCCTTTTCATGTTTGGACCACATTGCAAAGTGTACATCGGCTCCCTCGCGCGAAGATGCTTGAGATGTTATATTTTATGCCAATACGTAGTTCTTCTACTTTCTTCCCTTCAAAATCGATCATCTCAAATTCACACAATTGTGTCTTTTTGGCGGAATCAACCATGGCTTGTTGGCATCTGTAGGCCGCATAAACCTTTTAAGATGGATGCCAGTTAGACATTTTTTGCCGCTTGGGAACCACGTTTTCTTCTTAACACCTCCTGCTGCTATCCGGCTAAAATGTGCACATTTTCACTCATTTGTAATCAGTCAGCAAAGGCCCGACGGTGAGATGTCTCGAAAAGATTATTATCAAGCCAATTTTAGTTATCCCGTGGCGTGGGGTGTGTTAAGAGTGACCGTTCCTCCCAGATCTGTTCGTAAAACAGTCGAGGAGAATGAGCGTAAAAGTTAAAGCTGTTATTTGCGCTCACACATCCTAGTGTGTGTGGTCAACAACACCAAGTCTGGCCGAACCGACGAATAGAAGACACATCCGGGCATGTTTTGTGTTTGTATTACGTGTCTGCATAGTTATTTACCAAATAAAAAGCAACGATTCACCTATCTGCAACTTTATTTTTGCCTCATTTCCTCTTTCTTCTGCTTTATATTTTCCAGCAGTCGTCTTGAGTTCACCCCACATAATAGTAACAGTAAGTACACATATGCTGAATTTTTTTTTCCCTTGTCATGTCTGTCAAATCTTGAGATTGGTCAAAGATCGGCACATGGAGCCCACTTAAGGGTCTTCTTGCAAGGCACTGACGATTTATGGCATATTTTTTTTCGGAACAGTTGAATCTCTCAATTTCTCTTTTCACTGTTTTAAATCACAGGGAACCATCCTATCCCCCCCCCCCCCACACCCTCCCTAATGCACACCATAATGCAATTTATGTAAATTTCTGACTAACTCTAATGCCTCGCCAGAGGAGACAAAACTTAAGGTGCTCCATGATTTATTTATTTTTTGGCGTGCTCCATGATTTGAATGCTAACAGGGAATTAGCTATGTAAGTTGATGAAGTTGATTCTCCAAAAAGGAAAACAAAAACCTTCCACAACCGAGTCAAACAAACACTCATCCGTATTTAGAGTTTTCATCCACGGGGAAAACTAACTCCACACATTTCCAACCCAGAATCTCAGAACTGATGCACATGTGCTCACCGTGCAGCCAATATTTACAATCTGTACAATACAATTATATTTTCCACTTTAGCTATCGGTTTAAAATGGATTTTTTTTTTTTTTTATCACATCAGTTGAAGGACTGCACAGTTGTCCTTCATGCGTTTTCCGGGCAAAAGTCTACATACCACTGTCAATATACATATAAAAGTACAAATACATAAAAAACAAACTGATTTACTGCGCACCGCTGTTAGTCAACGTTTTTAAAAGAATAAACGAACCAAGTCATGAATAATTTGGATTATTGCGTAATCCTTCATTTCAAACAAGATGCATAGACATCAGCAATGTCCGAGCACATTTCAAAAGCAGCTTACTTTACACTGGAGAGTAAAAAGGGTATTAGTGTCCCAGTGTTTTTACAGAGCGGGAGCGAGGATGTGAATCTCTTTGGGGGCAGCCTGTCAGCCAGCTGCACCGCGGGCTTAATCCCCAATCCATGTTTAAAATGTGTCACAGGGGTCAAAGATTTCAACACCCGGTGATCATCACCCACATAATGCACACATTGTCATTCTGCCAGAGCTTGGTAAACATTGGCTGAGGGCTTCTGACTCAGGAAAGACAGGGACGAGACCCAGACGCACCTGCTTTAGCCAGGGAGGAGACGTGAGCAAAACGGATTGATGATTTCATGCCCTTGAAGATAAATCGCAGTTTTTACTTCAACAAAACAAAACAAAAAAAAACCACGACATCCACAAAGTCAAATAAACAGATATGCAGATGTGTTTCTTTTTTCTTTTTTTTTAATCATAAACAATTATATATTGATAAATGTTGTGGATGTGCCGGCGCACAAGAAAAGAATGTGTTTCCTATAAACCGCATCCCCTCCTCTCCCGACTCCCCTCACACGTCTGACATTAACATTCATGGAGCCAGTGAAGTGTGGCGAGCCGCGCACATCGAGCCGTTGACGAGATGTGTGGAGTTTTTGGGGGGGTGTGCTGCTGGCTAGATACGAAGAGGGATGAAGCGTAGAGGCCCTGACTTAGGTTAGTTGGAAAAAA